ATACATAAATGATCTAAAAGTTATTCTTCACTAGTTTTATTTCTAAGGTTTTATTTAAAATATGCATTCTTTGATCATAATTCTATGCTGTTAGAAAGTGAATAAAAGGGGGCGCCTGGGTGGCTCAGTGGGTTAAATCCTCTGCCTTTGGCTCAGGTCATGATCCCAGGGTCCTGGGATTGAGCCCCGCATCGGGCTCTCTGCTCAGTGGAGAGCCTGCTTCCTCCTCTCTCTCTGCCTGCCTCTCTGCCTACTTGTGATCTTTGTCTGTCAAATAAATGAATAAAATCTTTAAAAAAAAAAGTGAATAAAAGGAGCAAATAATTTTTATTGTAGTAAAAGTGAAAAAATATTGTTCTAAAGACCTTGATGAGATAGAAAATTTAAATGTAAAATCCAAAATACATAGAATTATACATCCAGTCAAAATATCAAAAGTATTAGAAAGATCTTTGCTCCATTAGGACTACATGGAAAAACAGATATGTTTTATTGTAATGGATCTATAATTGTCTACAGATCTATGAATGGAGTGGGATGTAAGGAAGTCTCTATGATCAGAATTATGCAAAAGGACAGATCCCCATTACTGATGGGAGGTGCACTGAAGGTGATACTTGGGAGGTGATACTTGGGGGAGGGCTAGTTTTGTTAAGGTGGGCAGAGGAGCAGGTCTGCCATAATCAAGAGATTTTTACTGCCAATGTATATTGGTGGCATAATTTGGAATCTTAAGAGACCAACTACAAAAAAAGCAAATCACTTGTCCTTACATTCTCCCTCCTCCCCGCTAAGGTATTTTTCTTAGAACAAGGTATGGAAGAGGAGTGGGAAAGCAGAATGAAATTTGCACAGTTTCAAACTATCATAAAACTAGAAATAAGAAACAATGAATGTGTGTGTATGCACTTACGCTTATGTGTGCTTGTTTGAATGAGCATTGAAAATGTGTAAAAAAAGTAGTCACCTACCCACAAGGCTGTAATAAGCTTTGGGAGAGGGCAACTAATGTCATTACAATTTTTATCATTACTCTTTTAGCTAAATATACAAACTAGTCTTCATGAATATTTTTTTATTTTTACTTCTTGATCAAAATTTTTCAGGATTTTATCATATCATATTGACTTAATTAATCATATTTTAATATTTTCCTGTTATACTACCTGCAGATATTTAAAATTTTCCCTTAGAGTTATAAATTCTTCAGTGAGCAACTTTGAATACAAAGTGTTTTTCTTTTTTAGGTTTATTTCCATTGAATTGATTTCCAGTAGTGAAATTCTGATTAAAAGAGGATTAATATTAGATAGAATTTTAAAATATTGGCCTAACAGATTTTAGTATATCTTTCTAAATAATATTCTCAAGTGTAATTAATTGCATACTTAGGACAATTGCAATTAAAGCTTTTCTTCTTTTTTTTTTCTTTCTTAATTGATTAATGGCTTTGCTTAATAATAGTTAAAAGGTTGTGGATTTTCTGTGTTCTTTATCCTATACATTACAGGAATGGATTTTCAAGACATATTTTATAACAATTTATATTTATTATTTATAATTATTTTTAACTTCCTATTTATTTTCATTATTAAATTAAAAATTGAATATGAAGTTAGTATCTGAGGGAGTCAGATATGTTCTTTCTCTTGAAATTTATTCTATCACTATTTAGCTATAAAATTTTTCTGCTTCCTTATATGTGATATTTTATATTTATTCTTTTTTCCTGAATTAATTATGCAATTAATAAGGGGTTACTGTCCCTTTTCCCACATATTGTTTATTTTCTGATTTAGTAGCCTAAAATGTGATTTTTCTGAGGGTAATGAGAAATGACCCCAGATTAATTAGATAAAAAATCTTTGAAAATGTTAAGGAAGGCGCAAAATGAATACAAAATTTCAACTAACCCAAGCTAAAACAATGTTGAAATTGTCAAAATGTTTTAAATGTTTTCTATCACACAAAGAATGAGATTATTTTAAGAAATTGAATTTTAGTGGCGCCTGGGTAGCTCATTGGGTTAAAGCCTCTGCCTTCAGCTCAGGTCATGATCCCAGGGTCCTGGGATCGAGCCCCACATCCGGCTCTCTGCTTGGCAGGGAGCCTGCTTCCCCCTCTCTTTCTGCCTGCCTCTCTGCCTACTTGTGATCTCTGTCTGTCAAATAAATACATAAAATCTTAAAAAAAAAAAAAGAAATTGAATTTTAGGGACACCTGGGTGCCTTAGTCATTAAGGGTCTGCCTTTGGCTTGGGTCATGGTCCTGGGGTCCTGGGATCGAGCCCTACATAGGGCTCCCTGCTCAGAGGGAAGCCTGCTTCTCCCTCACCCACTCTTCCTGCTTGTGTTTCCTCTCTCACTCTGTCAAATAAATAAATAAAATCTTTAAAATTTTTTTTATTTTATTTTTTCAGTGTTCCAAGATTCATTGTTTATGCATCACACCCAGTGCTCCATGCAATACGTGCCCTCCTTAATACCCACCACCAGGCTCACCCATCCCTCCCCAAACCCTCTTTTAAAAAATAAGAAAATGAATTTTATAGGAAGGTGAATAATTCATTGATTGATATTTGTAGTTTTGTTTTTGTTTTTTAGGTAATATGACTCATGAGAATGATCTTGGGGAATTGATGGCTTACTGATCATAAATGCTGAGGTTACTGTGAAAAATCACACATACACCACCTAGTGATGAAAAATATTACCTGCTCTAGAACTGAAAGGGTTAATAAAGAGACATCACAAAATGTTAATAAAAATAATGTTTCCAGAATATTAATTGAATGTAGAATGTATAAAGTACATTGAAAGTAAATTAAAAATCTGAACTTACTTTCTCATTAATCAATAATGTATATTCAATTACATCTTGACAGTTCAAGGGTTGAGTGAAACTAATTGGGTATTCATGCAGATATTTTAGGAAACTTGTGTATTTAAGGTAAGACTGGTGAAATGCCCAATCTAGAGATGATACAGAGCTAAACTGAGCAAGAGTAAAACAGTTTCCTGTGTGGTTGCATCCAGAACTCCTGTTCTTGACTTCTGTACTCATCTATCAGCCTCTTATAGGACAGACAAAGGCAATATTAGCCTGTGCCTTTCTTTTTTTTTTTTCTTGGCTTCTTTTCTGGGCTCTTGATCTATACCGAGGCCATCAAAATCTTAAATTCAGGCTTCCGTCACAAGAGTCAAGATCCTCTTCTTCCCGGGATATACATGGTACTCTGCAAAAGCTCTGACGTCTGCTTCTAAAAATCAGGTACTTGTAATTTCTCGGATACTCATTCTATTTCTTAACATGTGTTTTTTAGAATTTTGAGGGAAATTAAATTGAAAGAAACAAAAGTTACACAGTCAAAGGCAGATTGATATATCCATATGTAGGTACAAATATTTTATATATATTTGTATTTTCCTGTGATATATATCTATATATCTGTATCTCTATATTTTTCATTTGGAGAAAAGGTAATAAAATTGTGAGTAACAGAGCAGGGAAAGAGGACAGAGAGGAAAAAAAGGGAGAAAGTACTGAAGAAAAGAGAGATGCCAGGAGGGAAATGAGGGTTGCTTCAGTAATCTTAGAGAAGCTATTCTAATTATTATTATTTGTTTTAGTAATTTTATTGCTAGTCACTGTTATTATTTGATAATACATTTTACGACCTCTAGAGATTGTTAAGTCATATGAAATAGGAGTTTAAAGGGAACAGATAAGAAAATACAAAACAATTAAGGTAAAGCATAATTAACCTTCCCATAGGAGGTGTTTTGTGATTGTGAAGAACTTGGGGATATTATCTTCTGGTAAGAGAAAAAGAGAGAGAAAAGAATCCTCATATTGATTCTCTTCTAATTTTCTAAAATGTTTTAATCAAGAAAAAATGTTTTTCAAAGTCTTCCCAAATGAGTGTATAGAACATTATCTTTGAAGATAAATTTAACTGTTTTTATTACTGCATTAAGAAATAAAATGATTAGGCAATATCAAACATTAGTAAGACATATCAAGGAGTTCATAATACAGGGGCTAGATAGCAATGGAAGTGAGAGAAGGGGAAATAATTGGTAGAATGTGACAAAGAGTAATGAGAAAAGCTAGAAGAAGAGATTGCTATTGAAGGATTTGGGGTTTTTATTAAAGGTGGTGGCATCTTGGGGCGCCTGGGTAGCTCAGTGGGTTGAGCCTCTGCCTTTGGCTCAGGTCATGATCTCAGGGTCCTGGGATTGAGCCACGCATCAGGCTCTCTGCTCGGGAGGGAGCCTGCTTCTCCCTCTCTCTCTGCCTGCCTCTCTGCCTACTTGTGATCTCTCTGTCAAATAAATAAATAAAATCTTTAAAAAATATATTAAAAAAATAAAACTAGCTGATGGGAATTCGCAGTAAAAAAAAAAAAGGTGGTGGCATCTGATTTACAGATTGCATAAACTCAAATTATAATAAGCAAATATAGGCGGAAAATGTACCAGAGAAGGACGAATTTGAGTAAAACATGCAGGTTGGAGAAGTGCATTTGTTCAGTTGAAAAAGAGTAAGTGTATCTGTGGGATTATGGGAAGTTGGGGACTGGTGATGTGAAGGATGGGATGGAAAGGGGCAGGAGCAGGTGAGGTTGTTGGAAGAATCTGACACCAGCTTGTAAAGATGAACTTCATCCTCCCGACTTCAATAAAGCCACAGTGTCATATTTTGCACTTTTACTTATCCATGAATGATATTTGTGGAATTTTAATTATGGATGGATAACAGCAAAGAGACTGAAAGTGACATACCATACCAACCCATGAACTAATTTTTTAAAGAATTCATATTTTTTTCCATTCTTAAACCATTTTCAGGTTTTTTTAGTCTTGTTCTAATAGCTAGTGATTTGAGTTCATCCGTAGCGCTATTTTATTCGAAACTAATTTTACCTACTGATTTCACAATTTACATGAATTGAAAATACATTTTCCTGTTCGTTTTTGTTGTATCTCTGCTTTTCAGTAATGAGTGAATTAACTGTAACATATTCTGATTTGCAACTTCAACCTTCATCTCAGCCACAGAGAAGACAAAGGCTTGCAACTTCTGAAAGAAAAAGTTCTTTATGTTGTAAGCACCAAGGTATGTGTGCTTTCTGCATTTTCTTATTTTAAATTGGATTAAAATATACCAAATTATGCATTATCATGCTCACATGTATATACATGCACACATATATATACTTTAAATGTTTATCTTTTACTAAACAAGGAAAATCAACAATTTTGAGGACAGATTAGACTTCTTTTCCTATGAGGTTCAATAATTTTAACTACCTTGTAAACATTAAATTGATGTTTGGATGGCCGACATATTTGAAGATCAAATTCTGTCATTTACCATTTACTGTCATTTTAAAATATCAATACTATATAATAGGAGATTTAGGAAATTGAGAAGTGAGAAAACGTACAGATAATTTCATTATTCTAATACAGTTGATGTGATTTGGGGAGTTTTTTCCCCTGTTTCTTTGTAGCATAGTGCAAAGTGTCTTTTTCAAGTATCTTGCTTCTATCTTGACATGCACACTACAAAGTGATCATTCTTCTAGTATGTATGATGATGTGGAGTTTGATTATTTTCCTATCACTTGAAATTTGTTTTACTTGGCATTTTCACTGTTGCTAATTTGCATTCTTCAAATATTTTAAATCAATATGTGAATGATCAGAAATGCACTACATATTATTTTACTAGTTATAATATGTTTTATAATAAGGGGATATTCTTAACATTGGCTAAGATCTCCTCTTTTAAACTAGGGCTGAATTGATTATCTTCCAACTTTTTAGAGGGTTAATTATTACAATAATATTTGTGATATACACATTTACCATGTGATACGTGAGGAAATATCTTCAAATTTTCCTTAATATGTTGTTAACATTTAAAAAATAGTTAAAAAACTTTTGCCTCTTATACACTCTTCCTATAATGTATTTAGAAATTCTTTTCTTTCTTTTATTTTTTATTCTGACCAACATATGTAGTTACCATTAGATTTGTATGGGAAACTTTATTAATGAAATTATTATTTGCGTAACTGTGTAAGTATGTGCAAAAGAAATTACTTCACTATCACTTTTGTTTTTCTATATGTCAAAACAGAATGAATTAGAGTCATTATATTGCCTTTTGTTTTTTTAACCTAACAATACATTTTAGTTTTTCACTGTTTATAAAGTGTTTTCGCATATATAAATCAGTAACAAAAGAACTCCATGAGCTAAGTTTCATTTTCATACCCAATGTTCCACCATAAGCAAAGAGTCATGATGGTTAGTTAAATGGCGTATGTGGGACATTAGAGTCTGCAGTTGTTGGAATTCAGTCCCTCCCTACCTACAAAGTCCAAAGCTTTTTCTCCTTCCAGATTGCTTTCAACTAACTTTTCTAAGAAGGTGCCTTATGTTTTTCTGCCCTTCTAATTTTAACTAAGTTTCTTAAAATACCTTCCTTGACACATGCAATTATAAACACTTCACATTGTGAAATTAGGAATTATTGAGAGAGAGAGGGGGGAGAGAGAGCATGAGTGTGAGGAGGGGCAGAAGGAGAGGGAGGGAGAGAATTTCAGGTGGACTCGATTTACATTTACATAGCGATTCATTGTTTGTTTTTTTTTTTGCTTTAAATATTATCTACATGCTAATGACTCAAAATTTATAACCATCTTGGATTTATCCTCTGAATTTCAGGCTGACAATACAGTATCCCAGTCCGAATCGCCTCTTGAAACTTAATAGAAATCTCAAACGTATATTTCAAACTGAACTCCTGATGTTTTCCCCCTAAATGCTCTCTTGTATTTTTCCCCACTTATGTTAGTTACAACTTCATGCTTTCAGTTATTCACAACAAAAAACTTGAAATGCTTCCTTGATTCATCTTTTTTTTTCTCACAAGCCGCATCGATACATCCTGTTGGCCTTTTCTTTACAATTTCAAAATTTCACCATGTTCACTACCTTGCTCCAAGCTGCTGTTTTCTGTTTTCTATTGTTCTGGTAGACTGGTCTTCATTCTATCCTTAAAATCTTTCCACGTTCACATTGTCTTCCTCATCCCATCTGTGAGTAGCAAAGAGCTTCCAGTTGAAACATGAGTCAGATTGTCTTTCCTTGGCTCAAATGCCCCCCATGGTTTCCTAGTTCACTCAGAAAAAAAACTAGTCTACTCTAAGCTACCCAAGGTCTGGGTCCTGTTGAACACCTAGGTTTCATATTTTCCCAGTCTGTTATTAATAATTGTTGATGCTTATTGTTCATGACTATAACCAGGAACTCTTCTAAGGATTTAAAATATTATAATGTGTTCAACTCCTTCAATAATCCTATGGGCTAAGTATTACTATCACTATTTTACAGAGGAGGAAATAATGACAAAGAAAAATTAAGTAAATTGCCCAGATCGTGGGTCTAGTAAGTGGCCTGTACACCATTGCCTATATACTTAACCTCAGTGTTATTCTGGATTGACTAATTCATGACCACCCATCCATCTACTTTATAACTTTCAAAACCATTTTTTCATCTCTTCTCCACTATCCTTTTCATTCTTTTTTAAAGTTTATATATTTTAATTCTTTACTGATTTTTAAAAAATGATTTTATTTACTTTGACAGAGAGAGTGTTGGGGGGAGAAGCAGAGGGAAAGAGGGAGAGAGAGAGAGAGAGAGTCTCAAGTAGACTCCACACTGAGCACAGACCCTGAGATCATGACCTGAGCTTAAATCAAGAGTCAAAGGACCAATGGACTGAGCTACCCAGGCACCCTTCTTTACTGATTTTTAAAAGGGTTTCAACATAGAACAATGATTGATTTCCCAAATGACTCCTTAAGGAGTGCTTATGGAGACTGAGTGAATTTGATATTTTAGCTATTATCAATTTCATAGGGAGAACTCAGTTCTATCTCAATTTAGTGCATTCATGTAATGTCACAAGACATCTGATTCTCCACCTGAAACATCCATCTCTGACCTGAGACTCCTCTGAAAAATTATAATTCCTACTTCTGATCAGTTTTCTGATTTTTGCTTGATGTTATTGACATATTACAAATATCTTAATGCCTTAAGCTTAATCCATCCTTCTGAAACATTTCTTTCTACCATTAGTCCAAGTGTTGTGCAATCTTAGTAAGATGGCATGCCTAATCAGACCCGGGGTAAGGATTTAAAAATCTAGGTTGAAGGTGGATAATGGAAGGATATTCCAAGTGTAACCAAATAAATTCTGCTGATGCCCACCTTGTGAGTGAAATGTCCAGGACCCAGTTTTGCTTAGAAACACATCTGAAATAGTAAAACCAAACAAACAAAAGAACTTTCAGAATAATTTTAATTTTAATGTGCTTTAGAGGAGGTTTTATTTATAACCTATAGCAATCTTTCTCACAGTTGATTTCTTTGCCTTTTTGCCCACTTCTCTTACAGGATAAATGTTCTCTAAAAGCTATCCTTCTGCATATCTTCCTAAATTGAATAACATCACTTTCCTAAGACTTTGATATTTCTCTCTACTCATATAGCTCAATTGAACTCTTTATTATGTAAATTAATTTTTTATTTATTTGTTTTATTTTAGTTTTTTTTTAAAGATTTTATTTATTTATTTGACAGATGGAGATCACAAGTAGGCAGAGAAGCAGGCAGAGAGAGAGAAGGAAGCAGGCTCCCCGCTGAACAGAGAGCCTGATATGGGGCTCGATCCCAGGACCCTGGGATCATGACCTGAGCCAGAGGCAGAGGCTTTAACCCACTGAGCCACCCAGGTACCCCTTTATTTCAGTTTTTTAAGAATATCCACTCACTTTTTAAAAAATAAAATCACTGGGTAAACATTTTCTCTAGATATTGGAAAAGAGGGATAAAAATAACCTGAGTAAAGACAATATTCACTTGGTGTAGAGGTTGGGGAGGCAAAGGGAAGGGATAGTCACATATTTATAAATAGGCTCTCCATCATGACCACATAAAAGTTTGCACAAATATGAGGTTTGAAGTGAAACATGGAATCAGTCAGATGAATGCAGGCTGGCCCCAAATGCACTGTCATTCACTGATTCTACTCTGACAAGTGGATTTTGATAATATTGGAGACAAGAATGCAAATTCAAGAAATTCAAGTTCAGAGAATTTAAGAAGAAAGATATATGTAGTGTCACGTTTTGGAGCACAGGTCAAGATGATCCAAAAGGTAAAATCATCAGTATAATCATAGTGACAGTCAGGACGTTTTACCTGCTGCCTCGATCCTGCCAACAAGTGATAGAATTTCCATTTTACACTTCTTATAAATTTTGCTATCTTTACCGATGTGACCCATATGTTTATGACAGTTTCATTCCCCCATAAGATGCTTTAACCTGTCAGTCACCGTTCTTGGAAATTCCCTGTCTAGAAATTACAACTGATTTATCTCCAGACCTAGTTTTCAATGCTTTATTGTTAGAAAAGTGTTCCACTTAATGTAGAGTCTATTGCTCAGGCAGGTGGATTTTCTCTCCCTTCCTCTGTGGCATCTGGTCTGTAATCGTGGGTCTTGTGTGTAAGGCAGTTCCCAATCTCTTACCCATTTGAAATGCTTCACTTTGTACCATTTTAGTATACTGAGCATAAGTTGTTTTTTTGTTTGTTTGTTTGTTTATTTTTTTGTTCCTTTTCTGGAAGCAGGTGGCTTTTGTCCATTTTCAGTGCAGGGTACACAGCAGGCTGGCCTTCCACTTTTTCCTCCACTAGCAAAAGAACTTTTCCTAGAATGGAAGATGCAGTGGGAAGTGATGCAGCATTTTATTTCTCCTTCCCCAGTGGTGGCTTGTCTTTTTCAAGGTCCTGGAATCAGGACATTCTGGGCACCAGATGGGTTTTATGTTTTTCCCTCAGAAGCAGGCATTTATCACCTTTTACTCAGAGCCAAGAGCAGGGATGATCTCTAGGTTTATCCACTAAACCCACAAACTTTGGCACACCTTGTAGACAGTGCCACAGAAAGGGGAGTCTCTCAGGTCTTCTGAACTTTCCTCATCTCTCCACAAACACCCAGTAAAAGACAATGGAGAATCACTGGCAACCAGATGTGAACTCCGATTGGCCTAGAGCTGCAAGCAATTCTAAAGCCTCGTGATATTTGTTAAAATTCTTTCATGACTTTATGGCTGCCACTTTTCCTCCTACGTTTTCTCAAAAGCTAAATAGTGCTTTCTGTATTTCCACAGAAACAGGGCTTATTCCCTCTTTAGAATTCAGCTCATCTGACTGCTTTTTTAATTCAGTGATCTCATTCATTGAAAATGAATTATGATTTTACAGATTACCCTCCTTTCTACCACTTTTAGTATGGTGAGCTATTTTGTTGCACAGTTTACTACACCAAAAATAGAAGCAGGACTCTGAATAAACAGCTATTACTCACACATTTTATCCATCTCTTTCTACAGATCTTTGTACTCCATCTCCATGGAAATTCATTGCAGTGATTCCGTGGATCATTTGCCTGATGCTTACTTGGTCTGTTGGGACCTTAACCACAACGTGTAAGTCACTATATAAAACAGAAATCTGCTTTTCCATTACTCACATAATGAAATCTGTTGAAAATAATGTATTCTTTGTCAATTCAGTTTCTTGACCATGAATAATATTTGGGCACAGAACTGAAGATTACATTTTAGAGACATATCAAATTGTCCATTTTTAAGCATATCACGAACTCTGTGAAATGCCTTATTATTTGTTCTTGTATTTCTTTTGCCCAAAAAATCTTTTTTAAAAAACTTTCTCTATGAAAAACTTGCTCACACTTTCCTTTGCTCACAAATTTCCCTCTTTTGTGATCAACTGCTATATGAACTTGTCAAACTTCTATTGTCAGTTGATTTTATGTTTATGACTCTATTATACTTGAGTTCCTTGAAGCAAGTCATGTTTCATTAATGATTTTTATATCCAAATTTAGTACAGTGTCTTGCACGTAGGAATGTCCAGTTATTGTTATTTTTTAGTTTAAAACTGACCTTTCTTTTTCTTTTTCTTTTTTTTTTTTTAAACTGACCTTTCTGATTGATTTTTCTTCAGTGCATCAGAAATCATGTCAAGGGGAAGGATATCCAGGAAATCTCTCCTCTAACAAGGAAGCAAATAAAACATTTCAAAGTATGAATCAAATCTACTTGTATATCAAAAAGTATTTTTGATGTTATATAGATATTCTCTCTCTCTCTCTCTCTCTCTCTATATATATATATATATATATATATATATAATTTACACACTCAAAATGAGGGCACAATCAAATGGTGACCTAAGGTTGAACAAAATACTCTGTATTTTGATAATGCATCATTGATTTTTATTGGGGAGATATCTATTTGTGATTTATTTATACATTTCCTCATTGTCTAATTTTTGAAACTTCCAGCCTTTTAAAACATAACAATGAATTTTGGAACACTGAAAAAAAATTAAATTAAAAAAAAACTACACAACTGAAAAAAACTGTATTACATATTTTTCATCTAGAACACAAAGAACATTGTGTTGATATTTTTAAGAGATATGCATTAGATATGTTTTGATACACTTCAAATTTTGTGATTTGAAAAAGATATTTCTGGGTGTTATATGCAACTAAAGAATCATTGAACACTACATGAAAAACCAATGATGTACTATATGTGGGCTAACTGAACATAGTAAAAAAGTTAAAAAAAATAAATATTCCTTAATATGCATCTTATGAATCTTGAAGACTAAAATGTTTTCAATGAGGTGAATTATTACTTTAGCATAAATGTAATACTAAATTTAAGTGCATAAAGTTTATAATGAAAAACTCAAATAATGTTTTTGTTTGTAGAAGGTAGATTTACTGTATGAACTTATTGTATGTGACTTGCACTGATGGAAGGCATTCTGTTTTATTATATTTTTTTAATAGTTCAGAGTTATCCTACCTGTTCAAACAACTGGCATCAACATGGAGAAAATTGTTACTATTTTTCAAGGGACATACATCCTTGGGAAAAATGTAACCATTATTGCATTGGTTTAGAGTCAAGCTTTCTTAAATTGAATATGGAAGAAGAGATGGTAATTACAGTATTTTGTTTCATAAATTCCAGTATCTGAAAGTTTTAAGAATGATAGCAATCAATCATTCAAGTTTCCTATTCTGCTGAAACACTTTCTATATTGTAGTCTATATTAGAGTCAGAGTCAGAGAGTCAGAGAGAGTCAGAAATAGAGAAACACTTTCTATATTGTAGCAGAGACTATACTGCTGAAAGTATATTTCAATAATACTTGAGTGGCTTTCCTCAGTACTTAAGATAAAGTACAAATAACAGACTGCCATTTGCAGTCTGAACCCTATTTCCTTGTTCTTCTTTGCTGATAGATTCTCTACCACACTGTTCTAAGGGAAGCACACAGTGGTCTCCAACTATATAGAAGCTCTTTAAATTCATCACGGTCCGCTGTTCTCTTTCATGTCCTTGTCCCATTTGTCTGTGACATGTTTCATCTCCTTCACCTCCCACCCAAACTGTCTTCTCTTGATTAATGCATCACATTTTTAAGATTTTAACTTATTAGGTAATCCCCTCGGAAAAAGTCTTGGTTCATCAAGGCCTGTTAAAATCACCTGCTAATTTTCCTTCTTTGATCTTGTATTTTCATTCGTGTCCTACGGATCACTGTTTATTACATAGACTCACTTAAGATTTTATTTTCAAGTACCTAATTCAAATGACTACAGATATATGACTTTTGCTCACTTTTGCAGTCCATAGCTTAAGAAAATGCCTAGAACATAATGTTTACTGAAAAAAATTGCTTGGTGAACAAATGAGTCATTAACTACTGCATCCCTTTGTCTATGGATAAAAAATCTAGGGTTAATTCCTCCAAATTCCTTTGATACATTAGAGCAAAGAATTCACAGGGAAGTCTATAAATGAAACATTTTTGAACCATTATATTCTTACTCAGGGAATGTTCTGCTTTTTAATTTATTTTCCTCACTCTGCAGAATTTTGTAATGAAATTGTCAAAGATGCAATGTGGTCTATTTCAAGCAAAGTTTTGGATCAGTTTATACTACAACAATGAGCAACTAAAATGGGTCTGGCTAGATGGCACAGATGTTACCCTGCACAAGTAAGTTTATTGCTGTTTTAAAATTTCAGTCCAGAATAATGTTCTTTTCTTTGAAATCTAAATATTCAGTGTGGATGTGGACAGATGTTAGATTTTGTAATAGCTATCTGTAATAAATCAACCAGGAAAAGACGGGAGAGATGGACAGAAGGGAGTCAAAAAGGGAGACAGAAGGGAGTACTAAACAATTTTACTTTCATAACTTATTTCAATTGTTTATTAGTTCATGACTAAGGTATTATACTTTTGCATTTTGTTAAATGGTTATTAAATAAACAAACTTGTACAAGATTATATTAGATTTGTCACTTTAACTTTCATGTGGTTTGACTCTAATACATGTACATAATGAATTTTCTTACAGTGTACTTCCCACCTCTCTGGGACCCACCAAATGTATTTTCTACTTGTTTGCTACTTGCTTTCTACTTCTTTGCCATCGTAACAAATTATCACAAACTGAGTTGCTCAAAAGAACAGAAATTTATTCCCTCACAGGTTAGGTTGTCAGATGTCTGAAATCAGGGTATTGGTGGAGTTGGTTTTTTCTAGAAGCTTCATTCTCCTGAAGGAGCTAGCTAAACTTTTCCAGGGAGAAAATTATTTATTATAGATGATTAACAACAAATTTGTAGTATTGTATATACTGTAGAACTTGTTTACCAAAATGCTAATGTATAAAGAAAATATTGTAAATCTCAGTGAAAATGGAAGATATCCTTAAATCCCCTGAGGCCACAGTGATGGCAGTTCTTGAATAATTCAAATGTATACCTTCAGTTTCACATTGCTACCTTCGTTGCATTTCTGTGTGCCCATTTCTCTCTCATAATGATACTGTCATTGGATTTAGGGCCCAATCCAATATGATTTCATTGTAATTTTTAACTCAATTATACCTATAAAGAACCTATTTCCAAATAATGTCACATTCTGAGTTCTGGGTAGGCATGAATTTTAGGGACACACTATTCAGTCCATACACTATCTAAAAAAGATTTCTAGGCTTTAACTCAGAGGATTTTATTAGGTTATCTAGAAGTGGGAGGTATAAAATTACATTCTAAAGAAGAGTTCAATAAAATTTTAATATACTGAATATCACAAATATTTTGATCATGGCATGGAAACTTCTCTGGACTTCTTCATCCAATGTGAAATCAAACCATCAACAATTGAATGGAGTGGTGGAGAGAAGAAACTTCACATCACTAGTGACAACATTAGCTAAAACAAGTGATTCAAATATTAACAATAAAATTCTCCTACTGATATGTTTGAAAAAGCCAAACATTCTTATAAAACTCTCCTGAAAAAGTGGTAACAACTGTCTACAATTCTATATACAGTTAGCAATTTTATTATCAGATTATGGATGCAATAGTGGCTGAAGGTTTGAAACAATACAATGATTCTGAATCAACACATTGAATATCAGGTGTCCATACATCCACTCCATGCTGTACTCTATTGTATCATGAACACATTTTTGAAAAAACTAAAAAATAAAACCCCACATTTATGAAACTTAGTGATAATTATGCAGCAGAAAGAATTAATTTTGAAAATCAGAAAAATTGTAATATGTTGCTTTGATGGATTATATTTTTCAAGATCATGTCTTTTCAATCTACCATTCTAATTTAAATATTTATTTCAAACACCTGTATATATAATACATAGTCAAATATATTACAAAAAATGTTTGTAGCCATCAAACTATGAAACTGGTGATAAAAATCTTAAAAAAAAAAAAAAAGCGGAGGGGGGAGCCTGGGTGTCTCAGTGATTAGACATCTGCCTTTGGTTCAGGTCATGATCCCAGGGTCCTGGAATCGAGCCCCACATCAGGCTCTCTGGTCAGCAGGAAGCCTACTTCCCCCTCTCCCACTCCCCCTGCTTGTGTTCCTTCTCTTGCTGTGTCTCTCTGTCAAATAAATAAATAAAATCTTAAAAAGCAAAAACAAAAACTGGTGAAACTTCCCATCCTGTATTTTCCGATTAAGTATCTGATTCACTGTATTTATCATTACTCTTCATCTCCATGTTTCCGTTTTTATGTTTCATGCTTCAGTAATTGATGCTTTCTGTCTCCAGCCTGGGTCCCTATTTGTTGGTATTTCATTTCATTTCCTGTGAACACATCTCTACACAAGTCACTATGTGATTCCTAATATGATCAGCTAGACCACTTTGTGTGTTAAAGCCAGGTTAGCAAGATTTGGGGAAATACCAAAATTGTAATACCCTGGTTTCCCAGTTTTAACTTCCAGAGTTTAATATAGTAAGTAATTTATAGCACAGACTCTGAAGCTAAACTGCCTGGATTTACATCTTGTTTCTGCCACTTGGGTGGTCGTGGTCTTGTTATTCAAACATCCTGTTTGCTGCACTTACTATAGTAAATGTATGCTCCTCTTCAGGAATTACAGCACATATTTTGAATCGCTCTGATTCTCACTGATGTATTCATATACTTGATCTTCTGAAATTGTTGCTAATACTTACTAACAATGAGGATTCTGGTCTTTACTCTGGAAGAAACAAGCCAAATTTTTCCAGGAAAGAATGAACTTTTATTGATGATTAATGTTGTGTTGTATGTGCAACAGAAAGTATTTATCAGAATGCTAATGTACAAAAGAACCATGGTAAACCTCTGTGAAAATGAAAACTACTCTGAAATTGCCTGAGGTCGCAGAGATGATTGCCAGAATTAAAGGCAGTGTTACCATCCCAATTCCAGATTTAATATTAAATTTTGATGATACTTAATATATTCCTTATTTGCATTGCTAGAGAACCGGAAAGCAACATTCTGCTTCTTTCTTTTTTTTTAAGATTTTATTTATTTATTTGACAGAGAGAGAGATCACAAGTAGGCAGAGGCAGGCAGAGAGAGAGGGGAAGCAGGCTCCCTGCTGAGCAGAGAGCCTGGATTCGGATTCTGGGCTCAATCTCAGGACCCTGAAACCATGACCTGAACTGAAGGCAGAGGCTTAACCCACTGAGCCACCCAGGCACCTCAACATTTCTGTTTCTTTATAAGTATATTGGAACATTATGGATCTAAAAAAAATACAGTTGAAATGTAAAGCAAATGTAAGAATTAATGGAAGGTATTTTCTCTTTTAGGCTTCAAATTCAAGAACTTGAGAATGCTAACAATAAATGTGTACATATAAAATTTGGCCAGGTGATTGCTGAAGATTGCCAGAATAATGGTTATTGTATCTGCAAGAAGATAATATATTCAGATTAAGTAAAATATATCAGAAAGAAAAAAAAATGGAAAAGAAACACCTGAAATTCCCCAGTGTGATGACTTCAACCATGAAAAATACTTATTTAGCTGAAATTAGATATCATTAAATATTGAAGCCCACCTATTATTATTCACCTTTAATTCAAATATGTTGATAAGAAAAATCTGTGTTCTGAGGTGGTTGACCAATCCAGCAGGGGAATCCCAGTCCTGGTTCCAGGGCCATTCCAGGCTTTCCCCTAGCCCCACTGGCTGAAGCCACAAGAGTGGCACAGATATGGAAGTAAAAGTGTATAAACTACCCTCTTTGTTTGTGCTCAGGGCTCAGACCTTGAGAGATTACTCTCCTCTGGGCCTGCTGGCTTAAAATAAACCTCCCACCCTCTAAGGTCTCGAGTGCCACTTGGTTTTTGGGTTTTTTTTGGCCAGGATCTGTGTTCCTGTCTGTATTCTATAACAATATAACAGGATAAATACAATTAACAATATATTTGTAACATGGAATAATAAGAAGAAAATAAGGAATGTGAAGGAACATTTTGGGACAGAGGTATTCAGTAAATCATATTTTTATGACACTCAAATCTTCCAGTACTTTCAAAATAAATATTGTCACTTCAGTGTTATATTCCTGTGTAGGTTTATATAACATGCCAGTCTTCCTTTGCCTCCTTACAGGCATATTTTAGAGGAATGGATGGTCAGAGTAAGAAGATAAAATTGCCTGAAAAAATGAATACCAAGGAAAATTACAGTTTTGGTAAGATAGAAAATAATGACTTAAAAGTGGTTATAGAAAAAAATAATAAAAGCAGTGATAGAGAGCCAGAAAATGCTAACTTTGTTAGCCACACAAGTTACAGAGTGTGGAAATAGGTAGTCTCCACTGGAGTGAAATAAATGGACAGAATTTACTTCATTCAAAAACAAGGATATTTTTCCTGCCATTGGTCCGGCACTGAATTTTAAGTGCTGGAGATACCTACTTGTACAAATCAACGAATTATGTCTGCTTTCATGGAGCTTACAAATTAGAGGAGAAGAGAAACATTAATAAAATAACCACATTGATAAAACTACAATTCAAATAAGTTCTTAGAAAGGGATTATCAGATTTTAACAAAGAACCAGATCTAGACTAAAAATTTAGTGAAGACCTTTCTGATATTACTATGCTTCTATCTATACGGATAGATCTGAGAAATGAAAAATTTATTAGCAAATGAGGGAAGGAATCCAGAAGGAAAGAAGTATGTCAGAGAGAAAAACAAACAGCACGTAGGAAGGCCTTGTGTTGGAATGAAGATCAGGGTGGCTGGATCCCAGAGCTGGAAGGGAAAATAGTCTGAGGCCACCCAGGAGGTGAAAGAAAGAAACAAGGAATCACAGAACTTTAAAAATTATAAGAAAAATGGACTTCCTCAAGGTACTCTCCATCCTTTAACTCATCCAAACTGCCAGAAGATGTAATAGAGCAGAGAACCCAAACCTGTATACATTCACAGAGTTGCTGAAACCACCAGATGACTTGAGCCATAGACAAAAATTATTAGATACCTAAGCAGTACAACTCTTCTAACAGTAGTGCAGAAAATTAATTTCTATTTTATGTGATAGAATAAATAAATAGAATAAATAAAGAGCACAAATTTAATAAAAATTTAAAATAAGCTTTTTAAGAAGTCCTCATGGGATAAAGGAGAATATCAGTAATATAAAGCAAAGGCTCAATAGATAACATTTTCGCTTCCAGATAAACTATAGTTGGTAAAGAAAAGTCAAAATGAGAAAAGAAGAAGGATTTTTTAAATAGGTTTTTGAAAATGCAGTTTTTTAGGCATCAAAGATCTATGGAATGATAACTAAATAAGCCCAAATTCCAGAGCAGAGTTCTGTCAGCAATCTGGTACTGTTGTTGTTTCTGTGTTTTTTGTGGATAAGATCTTGGCAAAGTCAGAGAACCTAGGTCTGGGGAAAGAAACTGATAAAACGTGTATTGGTTACGTGGATTAGCATGACAATACTGGAGATTTGACAGTCCTCAAATCAAGTTTCTCACAGGCCATTTGGTATATATATATATTTTTTTTCATTTGGTAGATTTTGAGACAAAACAGAGAGGACTGTGAAGCAAAGTCGAAAGATTCAATGTTGTATGGAAGTGTGGAATCACTATATTTTACAAACAAAACTAACATTACCCTGTATGTTAACAAACTGGAACTTAAATAAGAACTTAAAAAATGATTCTAAGAAAAATAAACCTTACGAAGTTTTAGTTTTCAGGAAACAAGGACTAGACAGAAGGAGCTATAAACAGGGGTGCCTGGGTGGAAATAAGGACTAGACAGAAGGAGCTATAAACAGGGGTGCCTGGGTGCCTAAGCTATAAACAGTGGGTTAAAGCCTCTGCCTTCAGATCAGGTCATGATCCCAAGGTCCTGGGATGAAGCCCTGCATCAGACTCTCTGCTCAGCAAGGAGCCTGCTTCCCCCTCTCTCTCTCTCTGCCTGCCTCTCTGCCTACTTGTGATCTCTCTCTGTCAAATAAATAAATAAAAGCTTTAAAAAAAAAAAAAGGAGCTATAAACAAACCAAAAACAGTGTATGAGAGTCAGTGAAGTCGGCAGCATAGTCATAACTGATGATGATAACTGTGTCTGAAAATAGCTAGAAGCTGAGAAACCAAGTGTGTCCCTTGGCAGAAGGCCATAGTTTCAGAACAGAAAAACCAGTGGGGATTTTACTGTTCACAAAGAAGCAAATGACAAAACTGAAGGATGATGAGATTTTTAAAAACATGGTTGGTATTGAAGAAGAAATCCAGATGGCCAACAGACACACGAAAAAATGCTCAATATCATTCATCATCAGGGAAACGCAAATCGAAACCACAATGAGCTATCACCTGATACCTGTCAGAATGGCTAAAATTAACAATACAAGAAACAACAAGTGTTGGTGAGGATGTGAAGAAAATAACTATTGGTGGGAATGTAAGCTGGGGCAGCCACTGTGGCTACCAAAAAAGTAGAAATAGGGTTAATATATGATTCAATAATTTCACTACTGAGTATTTACCCAAAGAATAAAAAAACACTACTTCAAAAAGATATGTGCACTCCTATGTTCATTGCAGATTTATTTATTTATTTATTATTTCAAAAGATTTTATTTATTTATTTGACACAGAGAGAGATCACAAGTAGGTAGAGCAGCAGGCAGAGAGAGAGGGGGAGAAGCAGGCTCCTCATTGAGCAGAGAGCCTGATGTGGGGCTTGATCCCAGGACCCTGAGATCATGACCTGAGCCGAAGGCAGAGGCTCAACCCACTGAGCCACCCAGGTGCCCCATATTTATTATTAACATATAATGTATTATTTGCCCCAGGGATACAGGTCTATGAATCATCAGGTTTACACATTTCACAGCACTCACCATAGCACATACCCTCCCCAATATCCATCACCCAGCCACCGTATCCCTACCTCCCCGCCCCCCAGCAACCCTCGGTTTGTTGTGTGAGATTAAGAGTCTCTTATGATTTGTATCCCATTATGCTGAGCAAAACATCAATCAGAGAAAGACAATTATCATATGATCTCTCTGATATGAGGCATTTGAGAGGGAAGGCAGAAGGAGTCGTGGCGGGTAGGGAAGGAAAAAAATGAAACAAGATGCAGCAATATTTATAATAGCCAGATTATGGAAGCAGCCCAAGTGTCCAGTAAGAGATGAATGGATAAAAAAGATGTGGTATATGTACATGTATGTGACTATTTCTCACCCATAAGAAAGAATGAAATCTTGCCATTTGCAACAGTATGGATGGAGCTAGCTAGAGAGTATTACGATGCTAAAGGAAACAAGTCAGTCAGAGAAAGACAAATAAATACCACATAAGTTCATTCATATGTGGATTTTAAGAAGCAAAATAATTGAAATGAATAAAAGAAAAAAAAAAGAGACCGAAAAACAGATACTTGACTATAGAGAACAACAAACTGTTGGTTACCAGAGGGGAGGTGGAGTGGGGGAGGGGTGAAATAGATGAAGGGTATTAACAGTACACTTATCAAGAGCACTGAGTAGTGAATAGAATTGTCGAATTGCCATGTTGTACACCGAAATTAATATAACACTGCACGTTAACTGTACTGGAATTTAAAAAAAGAAAAAAAAAAGCAAATATGCCTCGTATCACCTTCAAGACATTTGCCAAACTTTGATGCTGTGTGTAGTCAGATGCTGAATAACTAAAATAAGTCAAAGGAAGAACTGAATTTCTTGTAGATTGCAAGTTTGGGATAACTCAGTGTTACCAAAACTATTAATCCTTCTATTTCTCTCAATAAAGTGATCACATCGCTATCCCATCCATTTAAAAAATAAATTAATTAATTAATGAGGGAGCCCTTTCTGGTAGAAGAGAACTTCATCTGGACCTCTGTGGTTCTCTTAGACACAACGTCTGACTTAAAATAGAAAAAAAACCAGAAGACTGTGGAAAAGGCAAGAAAATATTGCCAATAATGAAATACAGCAGACAACACACACACACACACACACACACACACACACACACACACACACACGAGATGCAGATACATAAACAATGCACATATGCAGTTACCAGACCAGGACTTTTTTTTTTTTTTTCAGACTAGGACTTTAAAATAACTATAATCAATGTGTTCAGCAATGATAGAAATATGTAGACAAGCTTGATCTAATTAACATATGTTAAGAATTTCAGCAAAAAATTTGAATCTTTAAAAACAATCAAATGGATGTTCTAAAACTGAAAAGTAACATCTGATATGAAAAACTCACTGGACAGGTTAAATGGGAGATTGCAACAAATGATATAATATTGGTAAACTCAAAGTCTGGTCAATGTAACCCAGGAACTGAAACACAGAGACAAACAAAAGTAGAAAAATAAAAACAGATAAATGGATGAACAAAATGTGTTATATGTGGAGCTGGGGCTGCAGGCTGAGAGGAGAGAAAGAATGGGACCCAACACCAACCCTCCCCCCACCACAAATGAAATGAAATGAAACCCAACAAACTAAGGGCAGGATTAACAGAAATGAATTCATATCATGTCACAGTCCAAATGCTGAAAGTGAAAATGAAGAAAAATATTCATAGTAGCTAGAAAAATAGAAGCCCAAGCAGTTTACCTCTCTCTCTCTCTCTTTTAAAGATTTATTTATTTATTGGAGAGAGAGAAAGAGAGAGGGAGAGGAGGTGGGAGGGGCAGACAGGGAGAGAGTCCCAAGCAGATTCCATGTTAAGCACAGAGCTGGACATGGGGCTGCATCTCAGGACCCTGAGATCACAACTTGAGCTGAAACCAAGAGTCAGTCGCTTAACTGAGCCACCCCGGGCCCCCTCCCAAGCAATTAACTTAACAGAAATAGAGGAAGGCATAATTTTGTCACCTTGAAAGTGAGAAAAATAGTTGCCAAAACAATTTTACATATGCAGTGAAAGACCTTTTAAAGATTAAAGTAAAACGAAAGTATTTAAGAAAAATCAAGCTTTTGTGAGGCGCCTAAGTGGCTCAGTCGTTAAGCGCCTGCATTCAGCTCAGCTCATGATCCCAGGGTCCTGGGATGGAGTCCCACATGGGCTCCCTGCTCAAAGGGAAGCCCGCTTCTTCCTCTCCTACACCCGCTGCTTGTGTTCCCTCTCTCCCTGTGTCTCTCTCTGTCAAATAAATAAATAAAATCTTAAAAAAACAATTTGTCAACAGCAATTTGTTAATAGCAGCAGCCTTGATAGTAATGGAGGTAAGAAATGGCAACTCTGATTATGTATTTATATATCTGCACTTTAAATATCCATATATATGTCCACTTTAAGTAAATATATATATATACCAATCAGATTACAGACATATTAGAGGTTGTGTGTAAGAGAAAGAGAAACTTCAAGGATGACTCCAGGTTTGTGTTTGTTTTAGATTTTTTTTTGGACATAATTTTATACCTATAAAAACTCTGCAAAAGCAGTACAAAAGCTTATACTCTTCATCCAGAAACTACTTCAATGTTGAGATACTATCGTATTTACTCTAGTCTTTCCTCTCTCTATCTTTCTTGGTCTCCTCTTCCTCCTCCCTCTCAATGTTTGTTTTTGTGTCTAACAGATTTGGAAGGTTAACTGTCCTTTCTTTCAAGAGTGGGTTGAAGTTGCTTTCCTGCAAGAAATAACAATACTAATGGTATTGTTAATAGGCAGACCATTATTCACCTTGAACTACTTTATTTTTTTTAGTCTGAAAATGTCTTCCTTTTGCCTACATGTTTAAAAATGTTTTCATGGGCATAGACTTTTAGAATTTACAGGGTTTTTTTCAGCAATTTATTTTAAAAAATTAATTTTAAATTCAATTAGCCAGAGTTGAATGCAATTCTTTTGGACTTGGCTCTCAGTTTATATGAATTCAGCTTTTTTACATTCTACATATAAGTGAGATCACATGGTATTTTTTTCTATGTCTGCCTTATTTCACTTAGCATAATGTGCTCTAACTTCATTTCATATTGTCACAAATGTTAGGATCTCCTTCTCTTCTGTGCCTGAATAATTATTCCATTACTTACATGTATCACATTTTCTTTATCCATTCTTTTGTTGGTGGACACTTGTTTTTTTTCCATGTCTGAACTTTGTAAATAAGAATGCAATGAACATGAGATGCAGGTATCTTCGAGACAGTGATTTCAAGCTGCTTCTTAATTTTCCTGAGCTCAAAATAATTACGTGAAAGAGGCATATTTTAGGGTGACATATTCTGTTTTGCTTCACTAGAAAGGATCCTTGTTACTATTTTCTGAAATGTAGGTTTTGTTACTTTTTATGTAAGAGTGTAGCCATAGAGTGTTCCAGTTTTAGAAAGATAACTTGTAATGGGGGGAGGGGGGTTGGGGGGGTGAGATTATGGACATTGGGGAGGGTATGTGCTGTGAAGTGTGTAAACCTGGCGATTCACAGACCTGTACCCCTGGGGATAAAAATATATGTTTATAAAAAATAAAATTAAAACAAAACAAAACAAAACAAAACAAAACAAAACAAAAAAAAGAAAGATAACTTGTATTTAAACCTTTAGGAAAGGTGGCCCCTAAGCTTTATCTTGTATTCCCGGTGCTCCATGACAACAATCAAAACAGAAACTAAGGTTCTCTGAGTTTACCGTAGACCATCAGAATGGAAGTCAGTTTCTGTGGTTGCTTTTCTCTTGAGAATCCCATTTTCACTGAATTGTAAGATTCTAGTTTTTTATTTTTTACCATCTTGTTGTTGTAGCAGCGTTTTCCCTAAACTGTAATACATTACATAACAGTATTACAAAATGTTTTTTGCTATTTTCAGTGGGACCTAGTAGCAGGCTATTTTCCCTTCTTTAATTCCGGAAATGGTAACATAGTCCAATTTATATTGCTTTATTTTTTCAAAGCAAACATATGTGATTTTTTGCACACTTTCTATGATTTAAATATTTAATAATAAAACCTTAAAACAAGTGTGACTGTTAAATTTTGTTAATTATGAGTGGTGCATATTACAACTTTACACAAGAATTTAAAAACTAATTTGGACTAACACATTCCTCAGCCCTTGATTGACTGAGAAAATAAAAAATTTTCTCCATGGCATTTTATATTAATCCCCCCCCGCAAAAATGCTATTCAACCCCCTTCCTCATGCCCCTCACAAAACACACAAGTGGCAATTACACTTAGAAAAAAATAAAAAAATATAATGGGGTACACAAAGCTCCACATGTTTTAGCCTCTGCTTCTCTCTCCTCCACTTTGTAGGCTCCTCATCTTCTTCATCATTCTGCTCTGCTCAAATTGGTTTTTTTTGGGGGGGAGGGATAATTGTTTTGCTTTACAATTTTTAAAAAATTGAGTATAGTGCACAGACAAAATTACATTAGTTTCGGGTATGTAAGCAACCTAAGTGTCTGTCAATAGATGAATGGATAAGGAAGATATGGTGTGTATACATAATGGAATATTGCACAGCCATAAAAAGAGGATGAGATTGTGCCACATGAGATGACATGGATGGGTCTGAAAGGTATAATGCTAAGTGAAATAAGTCAGACTGAGAAAGACAAATACCATATGACTTCACTCATACATAGAACCTAAAACAAACAAATAAATGAATAAACGAACAAAAAGCAGAATTAGATGTGTAAGTACAAACTGGCTTTCTATCTTTTTAAAAAATTTTATTTATTTATTTATTTATTTTTCCTTTTTTTTTTTTTTTTAATTGTGTTATGTTAGTCACCATACAGTACATCATTAGTTTTTGATGTGGTGTTCCTTGATTCATTAGTTACGTATAACACCCAGTGCTCATCACAACATGTGCCTTTCTTAATTCCCATCACCCTGTTACCCCCTCCCCCAGTCCTCCTCCCCTCTGAAACCCTCACTTTGTTTCCTGGGGTCCACAGTCCCTCATGGTTCATCTCCCTGTCTGATTTCTCCCTCTTCAGATTTTCCTCCATTCCCCTAAGGTCCTCCATGCTATTGCTTATGTTTCACATATGAGTGAAACCATATGATAGTTGTTTTTCTCTGGCTGACTAGCATCACTTAGCATAAGGAATATTATTCAGCTATCTGAAGGGATGAATACCACCATTTGCATCAACATAGATGGAACTGGAGGGGATTATGCTAAGTGAAGTAAGTCAAGCAAACTGGCTTTCCTTAGAGTCATACACTCTTCTAACATCTGCACATTTGCAAGTAGTATTCCATTTGCTAGGATTCTGTTATCCTTATGATTTGTCCAGACAACTTCTAATCACTCTGCAAGTTTCCATTCAGGTGTCATTTTCCCACTGAAGCCTGGAAAGTCCTTTTCAAACTCAATTCTTTAATTTTCTGTATTTTGTAATACCTGGTGCCATACCATAGTCTTACTGTGAGGAGTAATTCAATTTCTGCCACACATCTCATGTACTGCATTAAACTAGTAGTGGCATTTTGAAATTTTGAGGAGAAATTTGTTGATATTTCAACTTTCATTTCGAAAACTTTTAAATATAGCAAATGTAATGAACCATTATATACCCGTCACCCAGCTTTAAATTTATTTAATTTTCAAAATTTTTGAGTTTGAAGAACTCTAAAAGTCTTCTTAGTGTAATATTTGTGCACATTTAATAAAGTAGCTTGAAGTTTAGTTTAACCCTTGGTTTCATCAACAGTTTATTAAATATAAAAATGAATTTGCTCATTACTAGAAATTTTACAAAAATTAAACAAAACATTTTTATAGAAGATAAATTCTTAAATTATCAGCCTTTATTCCCCTGCAAGATTATTTTTGTGTCAGGTCACAGATGGAAAAATAATTCAATAACTATAGGCAGAATTTTTTTCTGGAAGTTTTCTTCACAGAGAACATTCAGAGAAAGGCTTATTTTTTTAAAAGATTTTATTTTTATTTATTTGAGATAGAGCGACAGTGAGAGAGAGAGGGCACGCAAGAATGAGGAGGGGGCGGGGCAGAGGGAGAAGCAGGCTCCCTGCTGAGAGCTTGACTTGAGGCTCATCCCAGAACCCTGCAATCATGACCTGAGCTAAAGATAGAGCCTTAACCGACGGAGCCACACTGGCACCCCAAGAATGGCTTCTGTGCTCTTGAATTCTTTATTTTTTATAAATCATAAGCATTTATACAATCCTTTGCATGCAGATGTATGTGTTTGGAGTTGAACAGTTTTCAGTATAACCTTTAAAACTTGATCCATAAACTGCACAGGTTCCATTCTGCATTTCAACCATTGTTAATCTAGAAGGACAAATTATATTTGTGACTTTATTAACACATATTTAAATATTTAATATGTAAATTAATTCAAACAATACATATTTATTAATGCATAAATATAAAAATGCAATACAACAAATCTAAATATAGGTATTGAAATAATATTGTTTCAGAAGGTTTTAGGACCATGCCTAGTCTTTCTTAGTTAAAGATATGCAAAATATAGCCAACTCAGTTATAAAAGCAAGAACTTCATTCTATTATAAATTATATGCCACTATTTTTTGCTACATTGGAAATTAGTCAATTTAGGAAGTCTGGAATCTCTTGATACATGTACCTGAGTGAAATGAAAGTTTTTAAATTTTTTTAAGCATATCAAATAGGTTAGAACTTAGAATTCAGTTTAGAAGTCAGCAGATGTCATGTTTTATGTAAAAATAAACAATCTTCTTTGGATATATGCAAATTTACTTGGTAAGGAAATAAATATTGTAAAATTCTTTTATATATGGAATGTCTGTATATATATATAAGTATATATATATATATATATATATATATAATATGTGTGTCTGTGTAGACATTCCACGTAGAGATAGTTACTTATTTATTTTTTCATGTAGAGATAGTTATATCTGTGTATCTATTTTGCTTCAGAGTCTGGTGATTTGTATTCTGCCAGGAACCTGTGGGAAATAGAAGGCCAAGGAGAGAGTGAGGATGCATCAGTGTAAATCTGAACAAAAAATTAGAGGAAGACCATGGTCCGATAGTTTGTATTCAAAAGGACAAGGGAAGAGACTCAGTCCATATAGAAACCATTAGCTACCATAGGAGAAAAAATTAAGATATTTTTAGTAACTGCTGTTAGTTGGTCTCAATCTATGTACATTAGAGTCTCATTTTTAAATCTCACTCTTTTTTTTGATTCCTTCCATTTCTGTGTGTTTTCCCATACTATTTGTATTCCATGTCTGCCAGAGTACTGATTATTCTGGATGGTACTTATTTGCTTATACCCATATCTCTAACTGAAGTGTGAAACCCCTGAAGGAATTGTGTCCTATTCATCTCTGTCATTATCTCTGCAAAGTTCCTGGAAATTGAATAACACTCAAAAAATATCACATGCATAACTGAAATTTATCTTTCTAGTTGTTTTGCTTTTGCTTCTAAAACAAACATTTACACTTAAAGCATGGAAAATACTGAGATAAGGTGAAACAAGTTTTATTAGTATTTCTGGAGAATAGACTGGTTTTCGTCAAAAATAAAATCGCAAGCCATACAGAAATGAGGTCATTCCACATCAAGTCTAAGGTGTACTGGGGCCTCCAAATTCCAAATATATAATGAAGGAGGAGCATAGGTAGTATCTGTTACAATGAATATAAGGGGAGATATGAAAGAAATAGATGGCAGTAAAAGGTTATTCATTGATTATCCATTAGGGAAGCAAACTGAACTTTAAAATCAAGGAGAAGCGATTTTTTAAAAAGATTTATTTATTTATTTTAGAGAGAGGGAGAGAAAGGGAGAGAGGGGCAGAGGGAGAGAATCTTCAAGCAGACTCCCCTCTGATGGTGGAGCCCAAAGTGGAGCTTAATCTCATGATCCATGAGATCATGACCAGAGCTGAAACCAAGATTGGGATGCCCAACCAACTGAACCACCCAGGTGCCTTGAGAAGGGATTTTTTTAAAGGTCATTCAATAGTAATTCTGGCTGTAGAGTAATAAAGACATTTATTTGAATCCCTGCCAGAGCTATTACTCATTTTATAGTTTAGGTGAATTATTATATACTTTAAAACTCTGTTTCTTACCAGCAAAATTAAAAATGACCCCGTTATAGAGGTTTTTAAGACTGTTCAATGAAAAGATACATATGAAGAGCATAAAACTGTCTGTGACAGAAAGGAACCAGCTAATTAACCAGACATTAGCGTTAATGTTGTTGTGATGTTTTTATTATCTCTACAGAACTAGAGATTCAAATAAGTAAAATACACTTGAAATAAAGAATTAAAAACTTTTATAGTTTTATATAAGAAAAAAGCACAAGTTAACTTCATTCCAATTTCAATTTGTTTAATGTATTTGTAACTGTAGTGTGTCTGAGGGAAAGGAAAGAGAAATGAAAGGGGGGGAAATTTGAAGAAATAATAGTAGTAAATTTTTTAATTTTATAAACTCATAGATCTAAGAGTCTCAACAAAACACAAGCACAAGAAAAAAAAAAAACTAACCTAAGGCATATTACAACCCAATTTCTCAAATCCAGTTATAAAGAAAAACTATTAAAGTAGCTAGAGGTGGGAAAGATATATTATAGGGTGGCTAAATGGATTAAAAATGAGGTACATCAATATGCTGCCTGCAAGAGACTTACTTTGAGGGCACACATAGGCCAAAAGTGAATGAATGGTGGGTGATATTCCAGGCAAATGATATGCCAAACCAAATAGGTGTGGGCATAGTTATATCAGTCAAAATAGACTTTAAGTCAAAATCAGTCACAGAAGACAAGAATGTCACTATATTGTAGTAAAGGGGTTGATTAATCAAGAGGATAAAACAATTTTAAATATATATTCACCTAACATTGGAACACCTAAATACATAAAGAACCTACTAACAGAACTGAAGGGAGAAAGAGATAGCAATACAGTAACATAGGGAATTTCAATATTGTACTTGTAACATTAAATAGACATGAGACAATTAATAAGGAAAGAGTAAATTTGAATAATACTATAGACTAAATGGGCCTAACAGACATATCCAGAACATTCAATCCAACAGAAGTAGATTACACATTCTTCTTAAGGACATATGAAATGTTCCCCAGGATAGATGATATATTGGGCCACAAAGCAAGCCCTAACAAATTTATGATTAAAAATCATATCAGGTGTTTTTTTAATGACCACAATGGTATGAAACTAGAAATTGATAGCAGGAAAAAACCAGAAAATTTCACAAATACATGGAAATTGAGTGACATGCTCCCAAACAACCAATGGATTAAAGAAGAAATCAAAAGAGACATCAAAAAGTATCTTGAGATGAACAAAAATGAAAATACAACATACCAAAACTTATGGAATATAGCAAAGCCATTAGTTCTAAGAGGGGATTTTATAGGAATAAATGCCTAAATGAAGAGAAAAGAACGATCTCAGATGAGCAACCTAACATATACATGTAAATATGTTATATATATAACATATGTAGTACAATAATATGCATGTCATCTGATATTATAATCTAGTATACAGCATGACTATAGTTAGCTGTGTTATTTAGTTTCCAACAGAAGTGTGTTATTTATATACTTGAAAGTTGCCAACAGAGTTAATTTTAAATGTTCTCACCAAAATAAATAAATAAATAAATAAAAATTGTGGTCAAGTGAAGGTGATAAATGTGTTAACTAACCTTTATTGTGGTGATCACTGAACAATATATATATGTGTATCAAATCATCATATTGTGCACCTTAAACTTACACAATGTTATATGTTAATTATATCTTAACAGGCTAGAAAAAAAAATAGTACAAAGTTTAAAAGGAAGAAGTGGAAGGATACTATTGCAAGAATACCATACTAATACATAAGTGATATAATACCAGTTACTAAATAAGTCAGAGAAAGACAAATGCCATATGATTTCACTCATATGTGGAATGTAAGAAAAAGAAGATGAACATACAGGAAGGGAAGGAAAAAATAAAGTAAGATGAAAATAGAGAGGGAAGCAAACCATAAGAATTCTTAATTATTGGGAACAAACTGGGGTGCTGAAGGAAAGTTGGGTGGGGGAATGGAGTAGTTGGGTAATTGGCATTAAGCAAGGTACTTGATGTAATGAACAATGGGTATTATATTCAACTGATGAATCACTGAACTTTATCTCTTAAACTAATAAACAGCGAATTGGGCAAATAATAGACAAATTGCAAGATAAAGACTTAAATGATATAAATAATCACATAGAAAGTGAATGTCTTAAACTTCCCATCAAAAGGGCAGAGATCATTAGATTTGATGATAAAATGACTCCAACTGTAGTCTGTCTATAAGAGTATTCTGTCCATAGAAGTTAGTTGTAATATAAATACAGAGATAGGTTAAAAAGAAAGGAATACAAAATAAATACCACATTAGCACTAATCAAAGAGAACCTGACATGGCTATATTTATAATAGACAAAGGAGGATTTCACAGCACAAAATGTCATTATGGAAAAAGAGATTACATAATGATAAGAGTCATAAATTCATCAGGAGTACACAACAACCCAAACATTTATCAATAGAACTTAAGAATATTTTGGGAAAAAAATTTTGAACTACAACTAAAATACATAAATCCATAATTATACTCCAAGATTTCAATATCTGTCTCTCAGTAATTAATAGAATAAATAGACAGAAAATCAGAAAGTTTAAGACTGGAGCAACACTTCCAGCTAACTTGACCTAATTGAAATTATAATACACTCGCCCCAAGGATCGTGTAATACACAGTTTGTTCAACTTCACATGGAACGTTTTGGAAAACAGACCATGGTCAGGTCCATAAAACTAATCTCAATAAACCTAAGTGGATTCAAGTCATACAAAGTATGTTCTTTGATTAAGATGGAACTAAATTAGAACTCAGTAAAAGAAAAAATCTCTGGGAAATTCCAAACGTTGGAAACTAAATAACACACTTCTGAATAATGCATGGATCAAAGAAGAATGCAAATGGGAATTTAGAAGCTATTTTGAAGTGAATGAAAATGAAAACACAATATCTCAAAACATGTGAGGATATTGCAAAATTATCTTACATATTTGTAGCCTGAATGTTTCTATTAGGAAAAAAAATTCAAACCAATAGATCAGTTTTCACTACAAGAAACTATGGTGGTTTTCTTTCTCTTTTCTTTAGAGGATAGATAAATGGGAGTCCTTTAATACAGCTGAAGGTTGAACGAGGAGCCTGTGTGAGTGAATACTGAAATATAGTGGAAGTGGGGAGCAGAAATTAATGAAATAGAAAATTGAAAAATAAATGGTAAATGAGCACAAAAAAGATGTTCGTCATCATTAGTCATTAGTGAAATGCAAGTTAAAACCACAATGAGATACCACTACACACCTGTGATAATGGCTAAAATGTCAGGGATGTAACAAGTGTAGACCAGGATGGAGAGCAACTAGAACTCTCATACACTGCTAGTAGGAATGTAAAACAGCACAGTTACTTTGGAAAATAGTTTGTCAGGTTCTTAAAAAGTCAAACACATACTTATTAATTACCCAACCATTCTACTCTTACCTTTCAATGTAAGAGAAAAGAAATGTATATGTTCTGTATATGTTCATACAGACTTGTACACAAATATTCAAGTAGCTTTATTGCTAATAGTCAACAACTGGAAACTACCTATCTATCCATCAACAGAGGAAAGGCAAAGCAAATTGAGTGACTCATAAATGGAATACCTCCAGGAACAAAAATAAGTTAATCCTTCATACATGCTATGAGGTGGCTGAATCCAAAATAATTGTGCTGGGTGAGAAAGCCAGACTTGAGAATGGCACATATGGCAGAAATCCATTTATATTAAATTCTATAAATTGCAAACTAATCTATAGTGACATAAAGTAGGTTAGTTGCCTGGGGTCAGAAAAAGGTGGGCAGAAAGGAGTAAGAAGGAGAGATTACAAGGGTGCAAAGGGAAAGTTTTGCAGGTGAAACTTCTAGAAAGAATATGTGTTTGATACTTAACCTCTCTGCTTTAGTCTCTTCCTCTGTAAAATGGGCATAGTATTAGATTTACCTTGTGCAGTACTTAGCACATAGCAAACAATGTTACTCATTATAATTGGTATTGGCTGCTCTGTCTATAATCTCCTAAATTTAGGCCCTCAGGGTGTTTTGCTGAATCTGTTAGGATATGGGAACTCCTGGCATTGTGTGAAGTAACATGATCTTGAATGACCATAGAGACAGCTTAGAGACAAAACCCACAAATAGACGCCTTAAGACTTACTGGTTCTGTAAGAGAGTGGTGCCATCTTCCCACTGCCAAGATCCATTTGCTGGAATTTGTATTAGTCCCATCCAATGGTATGATTTCACTAATTTAAAGAAGTCCTGTTTGAGAACACAAATAAATCAGTGCTCAGAATTTTAATTAATACAAAGCCATAATCATTTAATCATTTTTTCCCTACACTTGGGGAAATGCATTCTGTCCTCTAGCCTAATTCTCACTTAAACACTGTACATAATACCTAAAATTTCTGTGCTTTCTTATTTTTATTTATTTTTTTAAATTTTAAATTTTTATTTTTTAAAAAAAGACTTTATTTATCTATTTGAGATGGGGGGAGCACACAAGTTGTGGGGCAGAAGAGGTGGAGGGAGAGGGAGAAGCAGGCTTTCCACTGAGCAGGGGCCTGATGCAGGGCTCCATCCCAGGACCCTGGCATCATGACCTGAGCTGAAAGCAGACGCTTAACCAAATGAGTCACCCCAATGTCCTGTGCTTGCTTTCTTTTATTTATTTATTTATTTATTTTTAATTTTTTTAATTTTTTATAAACATATAATATATTTTTATCCCCAGGGGTACAGGTCTGTGAATCGCCAGGTTTACACACTTCACAGCACTACCATAGCACATACCCTCCCCAATGTCCATAACCCTACCCCCCTTCTCCCAACTCCCCTCTCCCCAGCAACCCTCAGTTTGTTATGTGAGATTAAGAGTCACTTATGGTTTGTCTCCCTCCCAATCCCATCTTGGTTCATTTATTCTTCTCCTACCCCCTTAACCCCCCATGTTGCACTCCACTTCCTCATATCAAGGAGATCAGATGATAATTGTCTTTCTCTGATTGACTTATTTCGCTAAGCATGATACCCTCTAGTTCCATCCATGTCGTCGCAAGTGGCAAGATTTCATTTCTTTTGATGTCCGCATAGTATTCCATTGTGTATATATACCACATCTTCTTTATCCATTCATCTGTTGATGGACATCTAGGTTCTTTCCATAGTTTGGCTATTGTGGACATTACTGCTATAAACATTCGTGTGCACGTGCCCCTTCGGATCACTACGTTTGTATCTTTAGGGTAAATACTCAGTAGTGCAATTGTTGGGTCATAGGGTAGTTCTATTTTCAACATTTTGAGGAACCTCCATGCTGTTTTCCAGAGTGGTTGCACCAGCTTGCATTCCCACCAACATGTAGGAGGGCTCCCCTTTCTCCGCATCCTCGCCAGCATCTGTCATTTCCTGACTTGTTAATTTTAGCCATTCTGACTGGTGTGAGGTGGTATCTCATTGTGGTTTTGATTTGTATTTCCCTGATGCTGAATGATATGGAGCACTTTTTCAGGTGTCTGTTGGCCATCTGGATGTCTTCTTTGCAGAAATGTCTGTTCATGTCTTCTGCCCATTTCTTGATTGGATTATTTGTTCTTTGGGTGTTGAGTTTGCTAAATTCTTTATAGATTTTGGACACTAGCCCTTTATTTGACATGTCGTTTGCAAATATCTTCTCCCATTCTGTCAGTTGTCTTTTGGTTTTGTTAACTGTTTCCTTTGCTGTGCAAAAGCTTTTGATCTTGATGAAATCCCAATAGTTCATTTTTGCCCTTGCTTCCCTTGCCTTTGGCGATGTTCCTAGGAAGATGTTGCTGCAGCTGAGGTCGAAGAGGTTGCTGCCTGTGTTCTCTTCAAGGATTTTGATGGATTCCTTTCTCACATTGAGATCCTTCATCCATTTTGAGTCTATTTTCGTGTGTGGTGTAAGGAAACAGTCCAATTTCATTTTTCTGCATGTGGCTGTCCAATTTTCCCAACACCATTTGTTGAAGAGGCTGTCTTTGTTCCATTGGACATTCTTTCCTGCTTTGTCGAAGATTAGTTGACCATAGAGTTGAGGGTCTATTTCTCGGCTCTCTATTCTGTTCCATTGATCTATGTGTCTGTTTTTGTGCCAGTACCATGCTGTCTTGATGATGACAGTTTTGTAATAGAGCTTGAAGTCTGGAATTGTGATGCCACCAACTTTGGCTTTCTTTTTCAATATTCCTTTGGCTATTCGAGGTCTTTTCTGGTTCCATATAAATTTTAGGATTATTTATTCCATTTCTTTGAAAAAAATGGATGGTACTTTGATAGGAATTGCATTAAATGTGTAGATTGCTTTAGGTAGCATAGACATTTTCACAATATTTATTCTTCCAATCCAGGAGCATGGAACATTTTTCCATTTTTTTGTGTCTTCCTCAATTTCTTTCATGAGTACTTTATAATTTTCTGAGTATAGATTCTTAGCCTCTTTGGTGAGGTTTATTCCTAGGTATCTTATAGTTTTGGGTGCAATTGTAAATGGGATTGACTCTTAATTTCTCTTTCTTCTGTCTTGTTGTTGGTGTAGAGAAATGCAACTGATTTCTGTGCATTGATTTTATATCCTGACACTTTACTGAATTCCTGTACAAGTTCTAGCAGTTTTGGAGTGGAGTCTTTTGGGTTTTCCACATATAGTATCATATCATCTGCGAAGAGTGAGAGTTTGACTTCTTCTTTGCCAATTTGGATGCCTTTAATTTCCTTTTGTTGTCTGATTGCTGAGGCTAGGACTTCTAGTACTATGTTGAATAGCAGTGGTGATAACGGACATCCCTGCCGTGTTCCTGACCTTAGCGGAAAAGCTTTCAGTTTTTCTCCATTGAGAATGATATTTGCGGTGGGTTTTTCATAGACGGCTTTGATAATATTGAGGTATGTGCCCTCTATCCCTACACTTTGAAGAGTTTTGATCAGGAAGGGATGCTGTACTTTGTCAAATGCTTTTTCAGCATCTATGGAGAGTATCATATGGTTCTTGTTCTTTCTTTTATTAATGTGTTGTATCACATTGATTGATTTGCGGATGTTGAACCAACCTTGCAGCCCTGGAATAAATCCCACTTGGTCGTGGTGAATAATCCTTTTAATGTACTGTTGAATCCTATTGGCTAGTATTTTGGTGAGAATTTTTGCATCTGTGTTCATCAAGGATATTGGTCTGTAGTTCTCTTTTTTGATGGGATCCTTGTCTGGTTTTGGGATCAAGGTGATGCTGGCCTCATAAAATGAGTTTGGAAGTTTTTCTTCCATTTCTATTTTTTGGAACAGTTTCAGGAGAATAGGAATTAGTTCTTTAAATGTTTGGTAGAATTCCTCCGGGAAGCCGGCTGGCCCTGGGCTTTTGTTTGTTTGGAGATTTTTGATGACGGTTTCAATCTCCTTACTGGTTATGGGTCTGTTCAGGCTTTCTATTTCTTCCTGGTTCAGTTGTGGTAGTTTATATGTCTCTAGGAATGCATCCATTTCTTCCAGATTGTCAAATTTGTTGGCGTAGAGTTGCTCATAGTATGTTCTTATAATTGTCTGTATTTCTTTGGTGTTAGTTGTGATCTCTCCTTTTTCATTCATGATTTTATTTATTTGGGTCCTTTCACTTTTCTTTTTGATAAGTCTGGCCAGGGGTTTATCGATCTTATTAATTCTTTCAAAGAACCAGCTCCTTGTTTCGTTGATTTGTTCTATTGTTTTTTTGGTTTCTATTTCATTGATTTCTGCTCTGATCTTTATGATTTCTCTTCTCCTGCTGGGTTTAGGGTTTCTTTCTTGTTCTTTCTCCAGTTCTTTCAGATGTAGGGTTAGGTTGTGTACCTGAGACCTTTCTTGTTTCTTGAGAAAGGCTTGTACCACTATATATTTTCCTCTCAGGACTGCCTTTGCTGTGCCCCACAGATTTTGAACCGTTGTGTTTTCATTATCATTTGTTTCCATGAATTTTTTCAATTCTTCTTTAATTTCTTGGTTGACCCATTCATTCTTTTGAAGGATGCTGTTCAGTCTCCATGTATTTGGGTTCTTTCCAAATTTCCTCTTGTGATTGAGTTCTAGCTTCAGAGCATTGTGGTCTGAAAATATGCAGGGAATGATCCCAATCTTTGATACTGGTTGAGACCTGATTTAGGACCGAGAATATGATCTATTCTGGAGAATGTTCCATGTGCACTAGAGAAGAATGTGTATTCTGTTGCTTTGGGATGAAATGTTCTGAATATATCTGTGATGTCCATCTGGTCCAGTGTGTCATTCAAGGCCTTTATTTCCTTATTGATCTTTTGCTTGGATGATCTGTCCATTTCAGTGAGGGGAGTGTTAAAGTCCCCTATTATTATTGTATTATTGTCGATGTGTTTCTTTGATTTTGTTATTAATTGGTTTATATAGTTGGCTGTTCCCACGCTAGGGGCATAGATATTTAAAATTGTTAGATTTTCTTGTTGGACAGATCCTTTGAGTATGATATAGTGTCCTTCCTCATCTCTTATTATAGTCTTTGGCTTAAAATCTAATTGATCTGATATAAGGATTGCCACTCCTGCTTTCTTCTGATGTCCATTAGCATGGTAAATTCTTTTCCACCCCCTCACTTTAAATCTGGAGGTGTCTTCAGGTTTAAAATGAGTTTCTTGTAGGCAACATATAGATGGGTTTTGTTTTTTTTATCCATTCTGACACCCTGTGTCTTTTGAGTGAGGCATTTAGCCTATTAACATTCAGGGTAACTATTGAGAGATATGAATTTAGTGCCACTCTATTGCCTGTAAGGTGACTGTTACTGTATATTGTCTCTGTTCCTTTCTGATCTACTACTTTTAGGCTCTCCCTTTGCTTAGAGGACCCTTTTCAATATTTCCTGTAGAGCTGGTTTGGTGTTTGCAAATTCTTTCAGTTTTTGTTTGTCCTGGAAGATTTTAATCTCTCCTTCTATTTTCAATGATAGCCTAGCTGGATATAGTATTCTTGGCTGCATGTTTTTCTCGTTTAGTGCTCTGAATATATCATGCCAGCTCTTTCTGGCCTGCCAGGTCTCTGTGGATAAGTCTGCTGCCAATCTAATATTTTTACCATTGTATGTTACAGACTTCTTTTCCCGGGCTGCTTTCAGGATTTTCTCTTTGTCACTGAGACTTGTAAATTTTACTATTAGGTGACGTGGTGTGGACCTATTCTTTTTGATTTTGAGGGGGGTTCTCTGAACCTCCTGGGTTTTGATGTTTGTTCCCTTTGCCATGTTGGGGAAATTCTCTCCAATAATTCTCTCCAATATACCCTCTGCTCCCCTCTCTGTTTCCTCTTCTTCTGGAATCCCAATTATTCTAATGTTGTTTTGTCTTATGGTGTCACTTATCTCTCTAATTCTGCCCTTGTGGTCCAGCAGCTGTTTGTCCCTCTTTTTCTCAGCTTCTTTATTCTCTGTCATTTGGTCTTCTATATCGCTAATTCTTTCTTCTTCCTCATTTATCCTAGCAGTGAGAGCCTCCATTTTTGATTGCACCTCATTAATAGCTTTCTTGATTTCAACTTGGTTAGATTTTAGTTCTTTTATTTCTCCAGAAAGGGCTTTTATCTCTCCGGAGAGGGTTTCTCTAATATCTTCCATGCCTTTTTTGAGCCCGGCTAGAACCTTGAGAATCATCATTCTGAACTCTGGATCTGACATATTACCAATGTCTGTATTGATTAGGTCCCTAGCCTTCGGTACTGCCTCTTGTTCTTTTTTTTGTGGTGAATTTTCCGCCTTGTCATTTTGTCCAGATAAGAGTATATGAAAAAGCAAATAAAATACTAAAAGGGTGGCAAAGACCCCAGGAAAATATGCTTTAACCAAATCATAAGAGATCCCAAATCGTGAGGGGGGAGAAAGGGGATAAAAGGAGGTTCAGAAAGAAAAAAAAAAAAAAAGGAAATGATTAAAAAAAGAAAACGAATAAAGAAAAAATATAAAAAAGAAAAGAATATATATATATATTAGATAAACTAGTTAAAAACGTTAAAAAAGAAAAGCGTAAAAGTTAAAAATTAGCAGAAGAAGAGAGAAAAAAAATTGAAAAAGAAAAAAATCAAATTAACTGCAAGATAAAGAATCATGGGGAGAAAGCCATGAGTTCCGTGCTTTGCTTTCTTCTCCTCTGGAATTCCGCCGCTCTCCTTGGTATTGAAACTGCACTCCTTGGTAGGTGAACTTGGTCCTGGCTGGGCTTCTTGTTGATCTTCTGGGGGAGGGGCCTGTTGTAGTGATTCTCAAGTGTCTTTGCCCCAGGCGGAATTGCACCACCCTTGCCAGGGGCCGGGCTGAGTAATCCACTCGGGTTTGCTTTCACGAGCTTTTGTGCCCTGAGCGCTTTCCGTAGAGTTCCAGAGGACAGGAATGAAGATGGCGGCCTCCCAGTCTCTGGCCCGGAGGAGCCGAGAGCTCGGGGCCCCACTCCTCAGTGCGCCCTCAGAGAACACCACCCATTTACTCCTGTCTGCCTGGCCTCCGTCCGCGCTCCGAGCTGACCAAGCCTGTGACTGGTTCAAGGTAACCCCGAGGTGTGAGCTCACTCCTCGGCTCTGTCTCTGTAGCCGGCTTCCCCATTCTAATACCTGCAAGCTCTGCAACACTCAGATACCCCCGATCCTTCTGTGACCCTGCGGGACCTGAGGCCACACTGACCCCATGTGGGCTTCACCCCGGTTTAGCCTCTGGAGTGATGTCCCTCAGCAGAACAGACTTTTAAAAGTCCTGATTTTGCGCTCCGTTGCTCTGCCGCTTGCCGGGAGCCGGCCCCTCCCCCCGCGGTCTATCTTCCCGTCGCTTTGGATTCACCTCTCCGCCAGTCCTACCTTTCAGAAAGTGGTTGATTTTCTGTTTCTAGAATTGCTGTTCTTCTTCTCTTTGATCTTCCATTGGATTTGTAGGTGTTGCAGTCTTTAGATAAGCTATCTAGCTGATCTCCTGCTACCTGAAGTAGTCTCAGCCTGCTACTTCTCCGCCATCTTGATTCCCCTCTGCTTTCTTATTTTTGATGCAGAAAAATTTAGGATGGCTATATCTGAGTCTTAGTGACTCTCTTATGTTTCAGGTTCATATTTCAGTGAGTTGCCTCCCATGTTAGGACTGAGTATAGTAAGGGAAATTAAAACAAATACTCAACCTGATCTTCTCTGCTGTATATCTTCAGGAGACTGGAATTTTGAGACATACAAGAAGCTTGGCTCTGGTACCAGTTTTTGCTCTCATTAAAAAATTGGTAACAGTTATTTTTATAACATATCCAGTTTTTAGGACATGGGCCACAATAACTTTCTAGAAAGAGAGAATATATTATTAATTCTGTACGAGTCTGAAGATTATAGCAGATTTTGTCTAGACAGTTTAAATACTCTTTTATTGTAACTTTAACATTCCAGATAGCCAATTGGATCACCTCCAATGACATATCTTTACACATTTATAAAGAGAGACAGATGTCAAAACCAAGTATCTTCTGCTTTTTTTATAAGCACTCTTTCATTGTTAAAAAATAAAAATTGGGGGATGTTATGGATTATGGACAAGAATTAATCATTTTCTCACACACTCTCTTAATAACATTGGATGCATGCTTATGCTCAGTTATATAGAGATTCATGTAATCTGTGCTTCAAAACATTAGAAAACTTTCACTTACCTTGCAAAGAAATTGGAGCTTCTTGGTTGAATAATGCTATTAAAATAATTAAGAGGATTAAGAGGTACAAACTTCCAGTTATAAAATAAGTAAGTCATGAAGATGAAAAGTACAACATAGGGAATATAGTAAAAAATATTGTAATAGCATTGTATAATGACAGATGGTGATTACATTCATCATTGTGAGCACTGAGTAATGTATAGAATTGTTGAATCACTATATTGTACATCTAAAACTAATAAAACATTATATGTAAAACACAGTTCAAGAATTAAAAAATAAAATTATTAAAAGGTTATTAGTAACATAGTCCTAGCAAAAGTAGTTGACACATTTTTACACTAATAGCAAAAACATAAAGACACATACAATATTGCCTGTTTATGTCTCTGTATTTCTGAATACTAATCAAAGTAATGCATTACAATCATTAAGTCAAGAATGTTCTATCTACTTCTCTACTATCACTTACAATGTATGAATATGGCACCGCATATCATTACCATTATAATGAAATGGATCCCCATGGCTATAGCAATGGCACGGGCTACAAAAAATGGAGGTGCTGTCAAAAAAAAAAAAATGAGAACGAATAGAAAATAAAGATTAAAAGGTTTGGTATGTTCATGTTTGATATAAATGTTACGAGTGCTTTTTAGGGGGGAGGGACATCAGTACTTTTACTTAGAACTAGTAAAATAAGTACTTTGCAAGTGATTAAAAAAAAAAAAGACTACAGAAATGCATACTCCCTACTGTTTCTCTCTAAAAGTTCTCCAGTTTCCTCCATAGAATAAATCATGGCTATAATTTAAAAAATATTTTTATGTAGATACAATAATAAATATAGACATTTCCCTTCAATCACTTTTTAAAAACATGTTGAAGAAACTGCAGAAAATACTTCGTGATTTTTTTTTCGCTTAAGAAAATATCTTAGTGATTATTCTATATCATGTCTTATAAAGTCAAAATTTTATAAATAGTTGCTTTCATTACATTTCATTGATACGTGGACAAAATCTATTGACAAACTTAATTTTTTCCAACATGTATTTAAATTGTTTCTGAGTTTTGCTATTAGATATAACAATATGAATAATATTTTATACACACTTGTGTATATTTTTGAGTTCCTCTTTAAGAGAAATACTTGCGAGAGTAACTGCTGAGTCAAGGGCATTTGCATTTAAAATTTTTGTAGTGATTGAAATTTTCAGTCCAAAGAAGAAATACCAATTTATGTAGTACCAAAAATAAATTTAAAAGCTTGTTTGCTCACATCTTCTCTGCACTAAATATTATTCACATTTTAAAATATCTAAACCTTATAAGCAATATTTTTAATTTAAATTCTGTTTTTCCTGTTATGAATAAGATTGGACATCTTTTACTATGGTTAAATAATGTTTTTATTTTATTTCTCTGATAATTCTCTTGTTTGTATTGAGTAGCTGGTTCCTTTTTTGCTTTTCGGGTTAAGGGTATTAGTTCATTTCTTACCATATGTTTTGCAAACACACATCTCAGATATTTCTGCTTTAACATTATGAAATTGTAGGAGTGTTGAATGTGTAACGGTTACCTTGATCAAATTTTCCTTTATAACTGATTTTTTTTGGATATGATAAAATGTCTTCATTATTCTTAGTTTATAAAGTATGTTGAACTCATGTGTCATCATGTTATATGGTTTCCTTTATTTGACCTATTTGATATTTTTGCGTGCGTGCGTGTGTGTGTGTGTGTGTGTGTGTGTAATAAATAAGGTAGGAACTTAAATTTAAAATTTTTTTTTCCAAATGGGCACTTAATTTTTCTAACATCATTTACTGAATAAATCAATGTGTTCTCATTGTTATGAAATATCACCTTTAGCATGTAATACATTCATAGTTGTATTTTCATTTATTCCTATGTTCTTTATGCATTTTCCACTCACACTATATGTAAAATTCCCTTAGTTTTGCAATATGCTTGAGTTTTTCACAGTACCCACAACTATATATTACATTTCTTTTTCAAAATATTTTGGTTATCATTACACTTAATACGTACCTTAAGAACTTTAAAATAAAAAGAACTTGGGATATGTGGGTGGCTCAGTGGGTTAAGCTTCTGCCTTTGGCTCAGGTCATGATCCCAGCTTCCTGGGATCGAGCCCCATATTGGGCTCCCTGCTTGGCAGGAAGCCTCCTTCTCCCTCTCCTACTCCCCCTGCTTGTATTCCCTCTCTCGCTGTGTCTCTCTCTGTCAAATAAATAAATAAAATCTTAAAAAAAAAGAAAAATAAAAAAATAAAAAGAACTTTAAGCTTTTCAAGAACCTGTATGTTTAAAATATTGTAATTAATCTTTCAATAGAGTCACATTAAATGCATAAATATATGGAGATAATTTACATCTTTAAAATGTCTTTTCCCATTATGCATGTCTTATTTTATGTTTGTCAATATAATTTTTTTTTTTTTTTTTTGGCCAGAGAGAGAGAGGGAGAGAGAGCAAGCACAGGCAGACAGAATGGCAGGCAGAGGCAGAGGGAGAAGCAGGCTCCCTGATGAGCAAGGAGCCCAATGTGGGACTCGATCCCAGGATGCTGGGATCATGACCTGAGCCAAAGGCAGCTGCTTAACCAACTGAGCCACCCAGGCATCCCGTCAATATAACTTTTTAATTTAAGATTTTATTTATTTATTTGACAGAGATCACAAGTAGGCAGAGAGGCAGGAAGAGAGAGGGGAAAGCAGACTCCCTGCTGAGCAGAAAGCCTTATGTGGGGCTTGATCAAAGGACCCTGGGATCACGACCTGAGCTGAAGGCAGAGGCTTTAACCCACTGAGCCACCCAGGTGCCCCTGTCAATACAACTTTAAATTGATAGTTTTACTTCTAGCGTTTTTAATTAAAAAGTTTATTTCTGTATTTTTTAAAAAAAATTTGGTCTTGTATATATGGAATTTTTGTTTCATCACATTTTTATTGTTTTTCTAGATAGTAAGGTAATTGATTTTTATATCTTATCTTCAATTGAGTCCTCATATCAGATTTTCATATTGTTTGTCATATTTTTGAATGAAGCTTTTGAGGGTCTTTAAAAGGTTGCTGGGGGGAGGAGGGATGGGAGAGGGTGGTGGGGATATGGACATTGGGGAGGGTATGTGCTAATGAGTGCTGTGAAATGTGTAAACCTGGTGGTTCACAGACCTGTACCCCTGGGGATAAAAATACATTATATGTGTATTAAAAAATTTAAAAATTAAAAAAAAAGTATTTTAAATTACAAATAATTGCAAGTAATGTTTATTTTGCCTTTTTATTCTAATGTCACATCATTTGCTTTTTTTCTTTTTGTTGGTTATTCATGTTGGCTAGCACCAGCAGAACAATTACTATTAGTCAACAACAATGACAGCAAAAATTCTTGTCTTTTCTAACTATAATAAAAATGCAGGGGCGCCTGGGTGACTCAGTGGGTTAAAGCCTCTGCCTTCGGCTCAGGTCATGATCCCAGGGTCCTGGGATTGAGCCCTGCATTGGGCTCTCTGCTTGGCAGGGAGCCTGCTTCCCCCTCTCTCTCTGCCTGCTTCTCTGCCTACTTGTGATCTCTGTCTGTGAAATAAATAAATAAAATCTGTAAAAAAAATGCAGCTAGCATTTATCAATAAGCATAATGATAACTTCTGAATAAGTATATATTTGAAAAAAGTATGTATTAGAGATTTTAAAAATTAAGTTCTTTTAAATTAAGAACTCAGAGTGATTTTTATCTAAAACCTTTTCAACATTATGCATATGATCATACAAGCTTTCCCCTTTGATGACTGCATATGGCACATTTCCCTCCTTGTAATCCACTAATAAATAATCATTTATTTTTTAATACTTTATGAAGATTCATAAGTGAGAAGTCTGTTGTTTTCCTTTCTGTGTAAACCATTTCAGGCTCTATTTTCAATGGTATTCTGGCTTGATAAAAGACAGAGAGCTTATCTCTGTACATTCTGAAACATTTCTGTGAATGACAATCAAATTGTTGCTTCCACACCTTTAAGAACAGATCTCTGAAAGATATTTTGTATTTCCTTTCCCTTTTGTTTCCATTTCATTTACTTCTCCTTAAAGTTAGTTGTTCAGTGCTCCCTTAGAAACTGCGGTCTCACATTCAATGTAATCTCTAGCCAAATACCAAAAGCATTTTTCATGGAGCCAGAACAAACAATCCTAAACTTTGTATGGAGCCATGAAAGACCCTGAATACCCAAAGCAACCTTGAGAAAGAAAAGCAAAACTAGAAGCTTTACAATTCCAGACTTCCAGTTGTATTACAAACCTGTAGTAATCAAGACAGTATGGTCCTGGCACAAAGATAGACACATAGATTAATAGAATAGAATAGAAAACCCAGAAATGAACCCACAGCTCTATGGCCAACTAACCTTTGACAAAGCAAGAAAGAATATACAATGGAAAAAGGACAGTCTCTTTGACATATGGTGTTGGGAAAATTGGAGAGCAACATGCAAAAGAATGAAACTGGATCACTTTCTTGCACTATACACAGAAATAAATTTAAAGTTGATGAAAGACCTAAATGTGAGACAGGAAACCATGAGAACTCTACAGGAGAACAGAGACAGTAAACTCTTTGACATTGGCCATAGCAACTTCTTACTAGTATGTCTCCTGAGGCAAGAGAAACAGAAGCATTTTTATAAAAATAAAAATCTTCTTCATAGTGAAGGAAACACTCAACAGAACTAAAAGACAACCTATGGAATAGGAAAAGATACTTGCAAATGACATATCTAATATCCAAAATATATGAAGAACTTATAAAACTCAACACCCAAAAAACAAATAACCCAGTTAAAATGGACAGAAGGCATGAATACTCATTTTACAAAGAAGACATCTAGGTGGCCAACAGACATATGAAAAGATGTCCAACATTACTCATTATCAGGGAAATACAAATCAAAACTATGATGAGATATCAACTGACACCAGTCGAAATGGCTAAAATGAACAACACAGGAAACAACAGACGTTTGTGAGGAATTGGAGAAAGCAGAACACTCATGCATTGTTGGTAAGAATGCAAACTGGTACAGCTACTGTGGGAAACAGTATGGTGGTTCCTCAAAAAGTTAAAAATAGAACTGTCCTACAATCCATCAATTGTACTACCAGGTATTTACCCAAAGGATACAAAATACTAATTTAAAGGGATATATGCACCCTGTTGTTTACTGCAACATTATTAACATTAGCCAAATTATGGAAAGATCCCAAATGTCCATTGACTGATGAATGGACAAAATGAATGGATAAAAAAGTGATATATATATGTATATATATATTAGAATATTTTATAGATAGAATATTAGAATATCACTCAACCATCATAAAGAATGAAATCTTGTCATTTGCAATGGTGTGGGTGGAGCTAGAGAGTATTATGCCAAACAAAATCAGTCAGTCAGAGAAAGACAAATACCGTATGATTTCACTCATATGTGCAATTTGAGAAACAAAACAAATGACCCTAGGGGGAAAAAAGGCAAACCAAGGAACAGACTCTTACCTATAGAGAACAAACTGATGGTTACCAAAGGGTAGGTGGGTGGGAGATGGGCTAGATAGGTGTTAGGGATTAAGGAGAGCACTTGTAATGAGCACCAGGTGTTATATGTAAGTACTGAATCACTAAATTCTAAACCTTAAACTATTATTACACCATATATTAACTAACTGGAATTTAAATAAAAACTTGAAAAAAAATCAAGAAACTGCTGTCCTGGTTGTCATTATTATGTTAATGATAGTATCATTTATGGGGCATGAAAAAATTCTAAGCTGAACAGTATCTGCTAATTGTATTATATATTCCAATATTATACTAGAGTTAATTTCATTTCTGCTTTTCTCATTAAGGTAAAACAAACTGACTGTTAATCACTGATCTAATCATACAGATTCCAAGACTCACCTCAGTATAGTGAGAAAAGACAAATGGAGTATTGAACTTACGATTTTCTCCACATTTGCTTGTGATTAATGTAGACTCTCTCTTTTGCCATCGTGGAGATGTACTATGCTTTACCAGTTCCAAGTTATAATTATGAACTTCATTCATTTCTAGAGAAAAGCAGTTCAGGTCAATAGGAGTCATAGCCTTTCAGCCCCTTTGGTCATAGTTTTTCATATTTAACTTGACATACTGTTCATATCCTTTTTAAAGTATAACATCAAGTTACTTTTGTTTTATATTACTTCATTATTATGATTTTTGTACTTGTAATATGAATAAAATTATATTTATTCTATGGCAAAAGGTCTTTAGCAGATCTGTGCTATAAAATAAGGTAATTCTTAGTGTGTGATAAAATCTAACATTAAAATAAAGACAGTGTATAGTAAAATAGGGACCTAGGGAGATAGACATGTGTTTAATTCATAGAGCCATATTTGCTAAATTAATAACTTCACAAATTATACGCAAAAAAAAAGAAAAGGGAAAAAAGGAACAAAACACCAAAGGATATTAACACAACTTGTCATGAGTGGTTTAAAAAGTGAAATTAAAATAACATTCATTTAGAATCAATAATGTTAATCATGTAGTAAGCAGTAATTGCCTTTTTTTTCCAGTGAAGGACATACAAATAATGTGTAAAATTTTAAGATAAAGACAAATAAGCTGCCTCTGAACAAGACAAGTAAAAAGCCACTTTGCTCTCTTCCTGAAATAGTTATCATTACTGAATACATAAAAACTTTACATAATGAAATGTTAATATTAATTATCTTTTATACCTGAAACTAAACTAAAGCATTGTTTGTACATACCATATGTAACATAATTATCAAACATGTGAAGAGGGTAGGTATTATTTTATGAATGAAAAAATTGAATGTTACAGGAGGCCAAAATCATATTTGTATTTAATATAATGCTAGAAATAGAAATTGACTAATGTACATATAACATGTTTTATATCTCTATTTGATAGAGAAAGGAAACTCAAGTGCAGAGAAGATGTGGGTTGTCCAGATCTCAAAGCTACAGACTAGTAAAAGTTTGATTAAAATTCTTCTAACTCCAAATCCTCATGCTGTCACTATTTCAGGCTACCTCAAATTGTGAAAGATTTTACTTTAGTTAATGAAACAAAGGAGGAAAAAAGCTTTCAAGTTTTTGAAAACTCCATTTAAAATATAACATGAAATGAACATAAATGAATTAGAGTAGCTTGCTTTCTTATGCCTTGTACACTTGTATCAAATTCTGGGAATCTTAAAATTATACACAGGCTAAATTACACATCTATGTGGAAAACACATACCCATGTTGGGACGAGCCCACCGATCTCGGATCAGGTTCATTGTCAGATTATGACTATTTATTTACTCCAGAGATGAATCCAAAATCTTCATGTTGAAGATGACATATCTTCCTTAGAAAAATAAGAATACAAAAATATCTCTCCCATTCATATATATAAAGAGGATAATGAAAATAGGAGTTCATACAAGCCAGGCAAAATTAAAGTTTTGCATTTCTTTTAGTTATAAAATAAAAAATAAATATTTAAAAAATGCAATAGGTGTTTTTCATTCACCTACATTAAGCTACTTAATCAAAAATATTTTCCATCACTGATCTTGAATGACAACATCTATAGTTTTCTATTTACAGTTATCTTACTTGGTGACAATTTTTTTTGGCAAGGCAAATTTGGGTAAGACATATGAATTCTTTGGATGTTTGTTTCTAGTACATATTAATTCAACTTCTGTCCATAGTATCATCATTAGTATCATCATCATCACCACCATCATCATCATCTGTAAGTTATCATCACCATCTTTATTAGCAAAAATGATCTCATGTTTATTTATATAGTAACATCTTACAGTGTCTAGAAGAGCTTTCAGAGAGAAAATGGCTATTAAATAAATATACGTAGTGCATAGATTTTAAAAAAGCTGTTTCATATTTGATCATCATAGTAGGAAGTAACAATATGTTTTTTTCACTTTGCAAATAAAGTCGTGTATCACAGAAGGTAAGTGCCCTGCATAAGAGCGGAAAATTCCCATGTGTGAATTCAAATTGAAATTCAATCTTTTTTTTTTTTAATATTTTACTTATTTATTTGAGAGAGAGATAGTGAGAGAGAGCATGAGCGAGGAGAAGGTCAGAGGGAGAAGCAGACTCCCCGTGGAGCTGGGAGCATGATGCGGGACTTGATCCCGGGACTCCAGGATCATGACCTGAGCTGAAGGCAGTCGCTTAACCAACTGAGCCACCCAGGCGCCCCGAAATTCAATCTTTTAATCCCAAATGTAGATTGATTCCTCTAGTTTTGTTTAATGACAAGACTCCATCTTCTAGCAACATCATAACATCTTATTCTTCAGTAAATATATCCTGCCTACTCACCACTGAATGTAGTGTAAACCAATATATACCTCAGAAGTAAGAAGAATTCCTTGACCTCCGTAATTCTATTCAAAGAAGCAATTATAGTTACCTTACAGTGTAAATATTTTTGGAAACTTTCTCGAGTTTGAAACCTCGGGAATTTCTCATTTCCTGAAAAACAGTTTTTAGAAACACAGACACACACAGAAACACACCTGATCAAAGAAGGAAGGTCTTGATTCGTGTGGATAAAAGTCTCCTATACAACTGAAAAATTAAGACACGCCCTGAGCTATCACTTTAGAACTAAAACTAGAGCAGTACAGTCAATTCTGATTCCTAAGAAAGATATGGCAAGTGTTACTGTAATCTCATATTGTGAAGAAGCATAGCACAAACCACACTACTTCCACTTCATCACAGCACAGAAAATTCCACTATGTAGTGAAATAAATGGTAGGCGTTAACATGATTTTATGACTTAAATGATGAATTCAGTGATAAGAAGGTACCCAGAGTTTTGAGAAACACATGGTGTTATTAGATAATTTCTTTCTGAATTTTAAGTGAAAAATTGTTCTAAAATATGGTTATAAGTACTGTGTGGGGGAAAAAAGATGAAAATTAAGTTAACTTCATAATCATTTTGTGAACATGCTGTTATAAATTTGAATGGAATCAAGTATGCTATATCATATAAGTTGGAACTATAAAAAGATATCTTCCATATGTATACACCTATATATCAGTATATGCACACACACAAGTGCATACAAGTATATAGACATATATGTGTATTCACGACCTTTTAATTATAAAAATATATGCATACAAAATAAAAGTTCCATAATGAAAAAGTGCATACAAAAATAAAAGTTCCATAATGAACCCTCATATGCATAGCTTCAACAATTATCAGTTTGTGGTTAATGACTTCATTTATGATATATGTGGTATCTCACACCATCTCTGCTCCTATTAAACAGGACCTTTACTTTCTTTGTGAAAATTGCTCATTATATTACTTTCTATTTCTCAGAACATTAGCACCAAATCTTATGCCAAAATACCAATATAATCAACTAATGTCTTAGAGTTCTGGTTTTTAGCTACTCATAATTTTTTTTACCTTAAAAAATGATAAAGAGGACTACCACACCCAAAAGGAGCCTGGAGGAAGGGGACCAGTCTTACACTATTGGTGGAAATGCAAACTGGTACAGCCATTCTGGAAAACATATTTATATATATGTGTGTGTGTATATATGTATATATACACACACACATATATATAAAACATTAGGTGCTGGAATTGTGGAAAGTGTTGACAAAAAGTTACTAAGCTGAAGGCAGGTGGTACTGTCATCCTACTTTATACATCTCACAGTGTGAAGAATGCAGATTTTTTTTCTTTTTTCTTTCTTATTTTTTAAAAGATTTTATTTATTTATTTATGTGACAGAAAGAGAGGGAGAGATCACAAGTAGGCAGAGAGGCAGGCAGAGAGAGTGGAAGCAGGCTCCCTGCTGAGCAGAGAGACTGATTCGGGGCTCGATTCCAGGACCCTGAGATCATGACCTGAGCCAAAGGCAAACACTTAACCAACTGAGTCAGCCAGGTGCCCCCGAAGGAAGGAGTCTTAAAGAGGCATATTCTAGTGTGAGGTCAGGATGGTGAATTAAAAAAAAAAAAAAAATTAAAAGGGAGAGGAAGAGTTAAAAAACCTTAGTTGTATCAAGAAACAATATGTAAACAGATATTCTAATTTCTTCCTTGATGCTGAGCACATATTTTGCATCTGTCATGTTGGAACATCTATAGAGGATTTACTGAACATTAGTGATGCTTTGGTGACACATAAAATTACAAAAGGATGTGATTTAACTTTCAGAAAATATACTTTCTGTTACATGAAATAAAGCCAATAAAAATTATGCAGAAATGGTAATTTGGCTACAAAAATATATGTATGGGCTTCACCTGGGCATATTTATCTGACTTCTTGAAACTATTGGGGAAAGAAAGTGACAAAGCTATGCAAACAGCCTGGGTTCAAGTCATTTAAAAACACCCACCACCACTTCAACAAACTATTCAGAAATTACTTTTGTTAAATGAGAATAACCACCCACCAACACCTCATCCACTGGCCTTCTTGGCCAGTTGGCTACAATTTTGCAGGTTTACATGGCCTGAGGGGGTATTAAGCTCTTCCTGTGTACCCCAAAGGGAGGAGGTGTTGAGGCCAAGGTGCAACTTTGTGGTGAGAAAAAGTCCTCTGGGGCAGGATGCTCACTTGAAGCTGTGACATTGAACCTGGATGTGGTCAGAGGTATATAGTGGGCAGTTGCCCAGAAATGAAAGTAAAAGGTCTGTGGTTAAGACCCAATGGAACTTGTGTAGCCTTCACTCTTTGGTAAATATGTTTGAATTCATAAGAAACATGTCCAAAGATCACTTCTAAAATTTACAAGAGCAAGAACGTAAATAATAAAGACAGAGAAATAGATCCGAGTCTGGGTGTGGATGGGCATATTGAAGCAAAATAGATAACAATATAGAGAACAAACAGATGGTTACCAGAGGGGAGCTGGGTGGAGTTAATGAATCATTATATTGTACGCTTGAAACTAATATAACACTATGCTGACAGTACTGGAGTTGTTTTTTTTTTTTTTTTTAAAGTAAGAAATCTGCAAACATACTTATTCAAAAACTAAATATTTATGCAGAACATTCAGCTAGGGATTATGTAGTGGGCAAAGCACATATAATGTAACACTAATGTCACTAGAACATTGTAATAGGGTGAATACAAGGCAGAGATTCGAAAAATCTTAAATGTATGCTTTGGCGAGAAGGGAGGGAGAATAGGTCGCCATCTTGGCAACTAACTAATGTTGTTTGGCACAGTTTCTTGAGCTCTTAATGGATAAATAATTTCTTGGTCCCATCTCAAATAAAACTTTCTGTAATTCTAAAAATAAGCAATTCTACTCAGATGCCATTTTATTCACAAATATTTTCACCACGTTAACTTCTCATCCTCTCCTAGGAGACTTAATTTTTTTGTTTAATATCAATTTATATGCTATAATGGGACAGAAAAAATTTTTTCCTGTGCTATTACTTAGAATTTGTGAATAAACAGCTATATAAGTAACAACTCTTTTCAAAATTGTTCTCAAATAAATCACAAGCATGACTTACAAGTCGGATGATTTCAAATTTCTGTCAGCATCGTACTTATTTTTCTTTGATTGGTTGTTTGTGTGCCATTTAACCTTACATTTCCTGCCACAGTGGTAATCTCCACATTCACTAAAAAACAAAAACAAAAACAAAAACAAAAACAAAACAAAAAAAAACAATAAGATGATATTTGTAACTTCTGCATCTTGCATCTGAATAGGTTTTGTGTTTATTTCAGAACTCTAAACATGAAAGGATACTAAAATTTTGTAGATGACATAAAATTTGGATATTACTTATCCCAAGTGCCTAAGGACATAGGCCTACAAATAAAACAGCACAGAAAACTGAGACAGTAAAATCAGGAAAATCAAATGAAGTTCATTATTGTCGGTTTATTAGGTGAGGTTATGAATAGGTGGAGATCAGGATAGAGTCTGGAACAGTCTGGAATGACAAGAAGCAAGTGCGAGAAGGAAAAGTCATAATCTTTTTTTTTTATTAAAGATTTTTATTTATTTATTTGACAGAGAGAGACATAGCGAGAGAGGGAACAGAAGCAGGGAGAGTGAGAGAGGGAGAAGCAGCCTTCCCATGGAGCAGGGAGCCTGATGTGGGGCTCAATCCCAGGACCCTGGGATCATGACCTGAGCTGAAGGCAGATTCCCAATGCCTGAGCCACTCAGGCACCCCAAGAGTCATAATCTAATCTATGTTTTTTGAATAGTAACATGTAGTAGTAAAAATCCTTTGAGGAGTTTTAAGCAAGAACTAACAAAGTCAGATTTCTATGTTTTGGGTAGACAACTGCTCAGAGGACAATGGATTTGATAATGGGAATAAAGAACAAATAAGAACAGCAGTTATGGGTCACAAACTGTAGAAGTAAATATGTATTTTACCGAAAATTGTCATGTTAGGAATGGTGAGTATGATACTGATTAGTGAACTAAACTGACACAGTGGAGGACTTTAAATACAACAATTGGTGAAGAGAAGAGTGGAGAGAGAAAAAGTACAGGAATGATGTATATGCGTCTAGATTTTGCCAAGTGAAATGTTGGTGTCACTAATCTGAGGATCTAGAATAATCAGTTTAGGGAAGGGGATAATGATGGCTGAACTTATGGACATAAAGTGTATGTCCAATAGTGATGAGATGGGAATTAAAAAAAAACAAGAAAATGCGTTGCCCTGGGTGCCAAGTGAAGAAAATGTTTCCAGAAGGAATTAATGAACTACTGTGTGTAATACTGCTGCTAATTCAAGTAAGATGACAGTTTATTACTGAACTTAAAAAATAGAGAATAGTTCCAGTGTACTGTTGGGGAAAAATATAATTTGTGAAATCTTTAAAGGAAAATGGAAAGACAGGAATTAGAAATAGATTTACTGTGATGCAGCTGGGTGTTCATTAAACTATCTTTTCTGGTAGTGATGAATTGTGTTTCTTGAATGTGTGTGCTATCAGTCAGGTGCACCAATACTGACTACAATCACGTGTGCTCTCTTTCATTATCACTTATCTGAATTTTTCCTATTGTTATGCTCTAATCTTCAAATGCTCTCCTTCATATTTGAGAATCTTTCATAGTTTCTACCTTGTTTTCTCATCTTCAATTATTCTTTCAATTCACTTACTTTCTCCCTAAATGTTTCTTTTTGTTTGTTTGAAAAAGAAAAGGTATTTAAATCTCAATTGCCAAGTATAGCTATAAATGTCATCACTAGAAATATACTTTCAGTTGGAAGAAAAGGCTTAATCAAGTCTTTATTTTTTCTAAATTTAAATTCAGTTAATTAACATATAATGTATTACTTGTTCCAGAGGTGGAGGTTAGTGATTCATCGGTCTTTTATTTTTTTTTTTAACTTCTGTTTAATGCTAAGTTATCCCCAAATATAACAGTCACAAAAAATCAGATTATAAAATGCAGATTTAAAGACCTGTGGAAATTTAGACCATAAAGTTTCTCTTCTCACTGTGGGAGTCTTTACATAGACCATTTACATACATTTGAAACTGGATCTTTTGCACTGTAACCTCATCTTAACTGCCTATTTTTCTACTGTCCTCTCTCAAAATTTCTAATTTTAACAGGTCTTTTCATAAGCTATCATGTTCACAGACCCTTCTGAAATCAG